CCACACTTCAAATGGGAGGTCACCAGTTTAATACACTGGAATCCTGCCAGCCACGCCGCCTCAGAAATGCTCGGTGCCATGGCCTTTCGAACCACACTTCCCCCATCATTTATAAAGGATTTATGTTTTTGTGTCTTTTATGTGTTTTATTTTTAATTTTTTTCGCTTCTTGAGCCAGGGTCTCTAGGGATGCAATTTGGCCTGGCCTTGAGCTCCCTTTGGAGCCTAGGCTGGTCTCCAACTCCCAACATGCCCCTTATTTGACCAGAAGCAAGGGAGGAAGGAAGGGAGGAAAGAAGGAAGGAAGAAAGGAAGGAAGGAAGGAAGGAAGGAAGGAAGGAAGGAAGGAAGGAAGGAAGAAGGAAGGACCACTAAAAGACCATGGTCCATCTGTCCCTCTGTCCCTCCCTCCTTTCATTCCTCTGCTCAGTCCCGGTTGGTTCTGGGGCCAGCCAAGGGTCGTGGGTTTCAGTGTCTGACTCCAACACATGTGGAAGAGGGGGTGTCCTGGTGTGCAGGTGGGAGGTTTCCCAGCTCAGCTAATAAGATATTCCAAAGTCTGTCAATGTAAGCAGCTTGGAATCTGCTGTGTGTGTGTGTCTGTGTGTGTGTGTGTCTGTGTGTGTGTGTGTGTCTGCCTGCCTGTCTGTCTGTCTGTCTTTCTGCCTGTCTACCAGTGATGAACCCAAATGCCATGATTTTGAGTTAGCCATGGGAGGGAGGACAAGCAAGGCGGGGTTAGGCTAGGGTTCGAGTTAGGCTTTGTGTTACTGCTTGGGAAAAGGGTTAGGGTTAGCATTTCAGGCTTCAGGGTGACCTGTCAGTGCTCCGAGGGAGTAGCTGGGTTCCTGAGACGTCAGATTGGTCGCATTTCACCCCAAAAACACACACACACACATGCCCGGTTTCCTACACTCAGGTGAAAACACACACATTCCCCGCTCCTGAACTTCACCCTAATATGCTCACACATGCCAGAATCCCTGGGCTCACCCTCAAAACACACACAAGCCGTCTACCCAAAGCTCATGCTAAATATACACACATGCCCCGTTCCATGGGCTCATTCGGAAAACACAAGCTGGCTCCTTCTCCTACTTCACACTAAAACACACACAAGCCACGTTTCCCACCCTCACCCTAAAATCATTCCCCCAACTCACAGTAACACACACACAATGTCCCATTCACCAGACTCATCCTAATAGATACATACACACGCACAATCCTAGTTCCTCACGCTAACAGACACATGCCACCCCAAATATTGATGTAAGACTCGCTCTCTCTCCCTCTCTCTCTCTCTCTCGCTCTCTCTCTATCTCTCTCTCTGTCTCTCTTTGTCTCTCTCTCTCTCTCTCTCTCTCTCACTTTTGTGACAGGATATCTGTCTGTATTTTGCTGGCGGCTCTGGGTGAAAAACCCTTGTGAAATATGGACGATCCACACTTGGGGAGAAAGGTAGGGCCGAAGTCCCATGAGAAAAGCAGAATGAGCCTTAACCACCCGCAGGAGAGTAAAATCAACTCACTCACTCCACCCAGGAAGCAGAAGACACACAGGTCAGGTGTGTGTCTGTCTGTCTGTCTGTCTGTCTGTCTGTCTGTCTGACTGGGTGTCAGACTCTCGCTAAATCCTTTGCAGGAGGACATCTTTCCTTCTGGTGGTTCACTGTTCAAAGTCTTTGTGATTGGTTCACTGTTCAAAGTCTTTGTGATATTTTTGCTGGCTCCAGGCTGACCAGCGACTCTCTGAGACTTTGGAACCAGTGATCCAGCCAGTGGTGGTCACTCAGTGCAGGCAGCTAAGCTCAGCTCATCTCACTGGACTGCAATGCATCCATCCTGCTGCTCGGATTCCTCTGTGTGTCTGTCATTCACGAACTCACTTCAGATCTTTTGCATCTCTTTGCTCTCTGACCCATGTTGTAGCTTGGCATAACTGACAGCATCAGCAACAAGCCCAGAATTTCATTTTACTAGTGCCCTGAATTTGACCCAAGAAAATGGAAGGTGACTCAGAATACAAGTCCCATCGGAAATCTAGAATGAGCTGTGGTACCTACAGATTGACAAAAACATGGAAACCTTCTCACCCAAAGAAGCAGGATTCAGGTGTGGGTCAACTGAAATGACTGAAAGATTCGAGCCAAATTGTTTGGAACAGTATCAGGATGTCTTTTGGGATTCTCTCCTTCAGAGACTCTGTCACTTTCCAGTTCACTCAGATGCTGCCGCCTGTTTCATTTTGGCCACCAGAGGGCAAAGCTTGCGAACCCAGCCACAGTGGAAGATTCTTAAGTCCAGAGACAGACATAGAAGCAGAGAAAGACATCACAGATACTGCACGCGACACATTCTTTTGGAATGGACCTGTCCCGTGTTGGAGGGGGGAAACAGGAGGGAGGACGGCACCTCATTTGGAGCGTTAGGCTTAGGCTTAGGCTCAGTGTCAGGGGTTTTAGGCAGTGGAAGCTAAGGAAGGTGCTCTGACACTGGCTTCTGAGGACTGGCATCTTTCTGGGGTTGCCTGTGGCCTTGCATCTGAGGCCAGTGTTTCTTCCCCATCTCTGTTTTCATCCATAAGAGACTGGAGGTTGTCAGAGAAACTTGGACCCTGGCGGTACCTCTGGGATAATGTACCTGCCTCTTTAGCCAACAGGGGCGCTGTCTCATTTGGCAGAAGAGGAGGATGTGCATGTCCACTCTAGCCACCAGATGGCGCTGTCTCATCTGAGGAGAGCGTGGCAGCAGGGAAGCTGATGACACAGGTGATGGGGGCTATTTCTCTCTCTCTCTTTTGCAGATGACCACCTGGCTGGCTGTGGTGTAGACCATGAGCATCTATGGCTCAGATCCAGAGCATATACTTTGTGCAGGGAAGGTTTCCCACGTGGCACTGCGGCTTAGGCGGAGACTGGAGGCCACTGGGTTCCATACCAATCTCTGATGGCTGCTGCTGGACACCAGTACCCTCTGAGGTGTGCAGACCCTCGATGGCTATAGATATGTATCCTGCCCGTTTCTACTGTGCACGTGTGTGTGAGTGTGTGGGGGATGCCTTGCCCCAGCAGGGCCCTCCTACATGTTCGGGCCAAGGGGTCAGGAGATTCGTAAGGAAGGCTATGACCAAGGAAGGAGGCCATCGGGGAGCACCAGGGGGCACCCGCACAGCTGACACACAAATGGACGTGAGGGTCACATGGACTGGTTCACCTGTCTGTGGCAAGTGAAGACAGAAGAACTGTACCGACACACAGATGGGCACATTTTCCTGGGCCCATGTCTTCGAGGAACCTGCAGCCTTGTCACCCTCTGTCTATCTGTCTGATCAGAAGGGAGTTACCTTGTTACCTGCCACCAAGGGTGCCATAGCAAGCGGTGGCTGTGTCTGATGACAGACAGGAGAGAGGTGGTGCCACGTGTTGTTGGCTGTCTCTGTCTTTGGGCTGCATGTAGGGGAACTCAGGGTTGTGTGTGTATAGGGCTGGGTCAGCATCCAGTGTGTGCCAGGACTGGCCTGGGTCCTTCTGAGAGCAGGCACAGCCCCTGGAATGAATTCCTGCTGTTGGTCTTGCCTGCCTCCATGGGGCCCCAATGTTGGGGTCTTTTCCCCTACCCTTACTTCATCCTGGGCTCTGCATAGATCCTTCAGGCTCATACGATGGTCTGCATCATGCCCACTAGCTACCCTCCAGGGCTAACAATGGAAGGTTGTTGGGGTCACAGAGCAGCCTGATATTGGCTCCTCCTCTGAGGTTGAGGAAAGAGCAGTGCCAGTACCCTCTAAAGGGACTGATCTCTCTGTAGAGCACAGCCTAGTGTGACCCATATAGTTCCACCCTCCAACTGGGAGGGGGACTGAAGACCTCTAGTTCTGATGAGCCCACCCATCACTGATGAATGTCAGATTCTAATTAAGTCACTTCCAGCAGGACTTCTAGAGCCAGGAGGTGGTTGTTGAGGATTTGGGAGCAGTGTATTAAGTTGCGGGAGTGGCCCCTGGGGGGTTCATGTTAGGTCTACCAGAGGGGTGAGGGTTAGAGATCTGCTGGGATTAGGGAGCCAGTGGCTTAGAGAAGCCCCTATTCACATGAACCCCACCTCCTACTCCATCCCCCCCCACCACAAAGGAATGCCAGTTTAGAGGCTGGATTAGAATCAACCCCACCCTAGAGGGAAGTTGCTGTGTTGTACCAAAAGCGACTTGACAGTCTAGTTGAATTGTTCCCCATGGAAAAATTTATTGCATTTCTCTTTTCCTAACGTAGCATCCTGAAACATGGAGAAATCACTGGCTCACCTTAAAAGTCCCATCAGAGCAGCAAAAGAGCCAGCCAGCAGGGTGAACCACGGCCCCTTCCCCAGGCCTGCCTCACACAGGAGACAAAAATCAGCCCTCTTACTTCACCAAAGGAGGCGGGAGAGAAAGGTGTCTGTCTGTCTGTCTGATGCTGAGTGAAAATCCATGTCAAACTCTAGCTGAATGTCATTTCCAGTGGGATACCTGTCTGCCTGTTTGGTTGGTGGTTCTCAGATCCAGAGATCCGTGAAAAAACACAGAAAGAGTGTTCAGGCTTGGCTCCCTGGCTCCCAGCATCCTGCGCTCACACTGGGCACTGATGAGTGCAGGTTCACAACACAAACATGCTCCCCCCGCATCCACCCCACACCCCAACTCTAACAACCCACACAGATGTCCTGATCATCACCTATAAAACTGGCATATAAAGCTCAGCTCGGCTCAGCACTGCACTGCTCTGCTTCACTTGGCTCTGCTCAGCTGGGCTCCATAAACCCCACATGTGTCTGTCTATCCATTTGCCCCCTGATTGGACTGACTCCTAGATCATCATCCATGAACCCACTTGGACCCGTTCTCTCTGTTTGCTCTCTCTCTCTCTCTCTCTGTCTCTCCTCTCTTTCTCTCTGCTTTTTGTCGTGCAAGGGGCCTTGCTTTTAGCTGTCTCTCAGCGGTCCTTGTGGCCCTATGCCTTTTTTCACTCTCTCCTCCCTGCTTTTTCTCAGACCCTAACACCACACACACCCTTATGCCTTGATCTTCACCCGAGAGCCTAACACTCAGGGCTCAGCTGAGCTCTGCTGATGGATCCCAGATCTACCTACTCCTCTTCCTGCCTGTCTGCTGGGATTCCCACATCTGTCCTACACAAACACCTTTGGATCCTCTCTCCGATCCCTCCCTGTTTTCATCCCCAGTCCTGTCCCTTTTACCACCCATCTGCACACTCTCTGTACCTTTCTCTGAGCCCTTAGACTCTTTCTGCCTCACTCTCTCTGTCTGTCTCTCTGTCTCTGTCACTGTCTCTGTCTCTGTCTGTTTCTCTGTCTTTCTCTGTCTCTGCTTTCCTCTGGCCTTTGCCTAGTTTGGGTTCTCTCTGGTTTTGTTTGCAGGGGGAGGAGCTGCAGTCTTTTTTCACTCTCTCGGGTTTTCTCCCTCCCTGGGCTGCTTTCAGTCTCTCTCTGCTTTCTTACCTTCCCCTGGGCTTTTTGGGGCTGGGTCTCAGTTGTTTGTGCAGCCTCACCCATGTCTCTGTTAACTGGGGCCTTCCCCACTCTTTTACAGACCGTAACATCACACAGACACACACACACACACACACACACACACACACACACACACACACACACACATACACACACACACACCTATGCCCTGATCATCAACCATGAGCCTAACACACACAGCAGCTCAGCTCAGCTCAGCTCAGTGGATTCTAATCTAAGCCTCTGCCTGGGTCTTGCTGCTGGGATTGCCCTGTCTGTCTTCAGTCCCTTTGCCTCTTTTGGATCCCTCCCTCCATCCCTCATTCCCCAGTTTATCCCCCCCCCCCTCCTTTCCCATTTACCACTGGCTGGGCTGTCCCCTCTGTGCTATTCTCCGGGGGGCCCTTTAACTCTTTGGACATCTCTGTCTCTGGCTGTTTCTCCATCTCTGTCTCTGTCTCTTTCTTTGCTTTTCTCAGGACCTCTGCTCTTTGAAGTTTTACATTCTTGCCTTTTGGCTCTGGGCTCTGTGCTCTGGTTTCTGTGCTGTGGTCTCTGGGCTCTTGGAGGCTGGGCACAGAGTGGAGGGGACTGAGTGAGTGAGTGGGCTGCCTGGGAGTGGCAGACAGGATGCAGGGAGTGGAGTAGGGTGGCAACAGGGTGTTGGTTCCGGAGGCTTAGCTAGAGGAGTGCTGGATTAGGGCAGGCCAGTGGACCCCAGGCAGCTAGGGTTAGGATGGCCTGGGTTAGAATTAGCGCAGGGTTGCAGTTTAGCCAGCCTCTGGGCTTAACAGGCAGGGATTTAGGGAGGCAATGGGCTGCCACGCCCCAGCAGCCATGCCACACCCCAGGCTGGATTGGATCTGCTGTGGGTTCATGCACCATGAATTCCACAGCCTAGGTGAAATTTTCCAAGTGGGAAAAGTCTGTCTGCTGACTGAACATCGAATTCTCCGAGGCTTTCCTGCTTCCTCTCAGCATCCAAGGCCTCCGAGGTTCTCCTGTGTCCCTGAGTCCCTGGCTTTCTGATTTCCAAGATTGGGCAGAGTTCAGTCAAGGTTCCCTGCCTGGCTTTAAACCCTGCTTTGTCTGGGATTTCTGGGTTCCCTGAGCTCCCTGGGTGCCCTGCCTCCTCTATCCTCTCTGCCTCTTCTGGCTGCCCTGGCTGGCTTCCCCAGTCTCCCTCCTGGCTTCCCTGGCACCCCTTCTTCCCAGGCTCCCTGGGCTCCCTGGCTCCTCCTTGCCTTCCTTCGTGGTCTCTGGGTGCTGCTCTGCCTCCCCAGGCTTCTCCGCCTCCTCTGTCTGCCCTGGATTGCCTCCCTGATGTCCTTGCTTCCCGGGCCCCCTTCCTTCCCTGGCTGCTTGCCTTCCTCTGTGCTCCTGGCCTGGCTGCCAGCCTCCTTGCCTTCACCCAGGGGCATCAGCACAGGCCACCCTCCCTCCTAGTCCTCACTGTCCACGTGGCCATCCCATTTTGGTGATTCTCCCATCCAGAGTTCTTTGGAGTACACCCTGCTGATCCCCACTCGCTGATGGCTCTCTGCCCTCTCAGCCCTAATCCTTAATCAGCCCCATATTCTTTTCCACTTTTTTAAAATGAAAATCCTGGGGGCTGGGTGTTTAACTCAGCGGCATAAACACCTGCCTTGCAAGCAGGGGGTCCTGAATTCGATCCCCGGTACAGATAAAAATGAAAAAGACCAAGAAAAAAAAATGAAATGAAAACCCTGCCTCTGAAATCCTGAGTCCACCCCATAATGCCATCCTCCTCCTCAGCCAATGAGCGAGCCAGGAAGTGAGTGAAGGGAAAGGGGACTTCCGGGACACCAGGGTGGTGCCACAGGAGGAGATGAAAGGATTAGGGGCCAGGTTGATGGGATCTGCAGCCAGCATGGAGGGATTAGCTGGGCTGCACGGGCGTGGCCAGATCTTGGGCTCCTGGGCTCCAGGGTTTCCCATGCATTCTCCCTGACTGACCTCAAGCCTTAACAAGCTCAGGCACCAGACACCATGCAGCAGGAGTTAACCAGCCCACACAGCCAGACCTCTGGCTGGCCCTCCAGAGCTCCCCTTCCCTGCTTTCTCTCTCCATTCCCCTCCAGGTTCCCAGGACCCCTCTTGCTGGCCCAGCTCCTGGCTCCCAGCTCTCCCAGGAGCTCTGCCTGCTTGCCTGGCTACCTGCCTGACTTCAGGGACCCCATGACAATGCGGACCAAGAAGAGATGGGGACAACAGCCATCTGCCATGCATCGAGTGAGGTGAGGGTCACTGGACTGAGCCGCCCGCCTGCCCCCCGTGGAGGGGTGTATAGTGGTGCGGTGGAGTTCTGGGCCTCTCCCCTGCCCTCCCCAGCTCAGCCTTCACTGGCTCCATGTTTTCCTCCAGGTTCCTGGGACTTGGCACTCCCAGCTCCTGGATCCTGGCTCACCATGCATCTCCTCCCTCCTGCCAGCCTGCCTGCCCTCCAGGACCCCGTGATGATGCGGGCCACGATGAGTTGAGGCGGACAACAGCTGTCCACCAGACAGCCAGCAAGGTGAGGGTCCTTGTGCCTGGGGGCCCCCATGATGTTTTGTGGTGTGTGGTGCTGGGGTCACTTACTGGGCCACCCGCTGGCCCACCCTTTGCTCAACCCTTGCTCATTGCCTTCCTCCAGGTTCCTGGAACCCAGCTCTCTGGGCTCAGGGCTCTGGCCCCCCCAGCTGCAGCCTCCCAGCTCCAAGCTGCCGGCTCTGCTGGAAGCTCCTACCTGCCTGCCTGCCTGACTGCCTGCTGGCCTTCCTGCCTTCCAGGACCCCACGACGATGAGCAAGAGGAGATGAGGGGGACCACAGCCATCCAGCACACACCACAGCACAGCCAGGTGAGGGTTCTTGAGCAGCCTCCCCCACCCCCCCCACCCCCGTGCATTGTGGAGGGGTCACGTTCTGGGCTGCCCTCTTGCCAGGCTATTGTAGCCTCTGCCACGTAGGCAGGGCCCTTCCTTCCAGCCCTGGGATCCTTCATGCCTCTCCTCTGTGCCTCTTAGGGCCACACACCCACCAGGCTCCAGGGCAGCCATCTGACTTTCACCCATAAAGATGGAAGGAAGGGAAGGAACAAAGAAAGGCTCCCTGCAAACCAAGGGACGAATAAGTGAATGAATGAGTGAATGAACGAATGAAGGAATGTATGAACAGAAGAACCAATAAAGGGAGAATCATCACTGTCTCCATTCATCAGTCCCTCCAGCCCGCCCATTCTTGGACCTCTGCCCTCCTCCTCTCTCCCTCTCTAGGCTTGCTCTCTCTCTCCCTCTGTCTCCCTCTCTCTGTGCTTTCCCCTCCCTCCTCTCCCCTCTCTCCTCACTCTGCCTGCTCTCTGCTGTTTGGGGGTTTGTTTGCTTGGACCACGGTGGTGGCTGCTGCTTCTGCCTTTCCAGCGCTCCACTCCATTTCACCCCCGGCTCTCACCTCCTTTCATTCTTCTCCCTCCTCCTCCTCCTTCTCTCCTCAATACTGATGCTGGACCCACAGATGGACAGAAACTCGGGGCCCCCACCCCAATCCTAGGCACCAACACCAGGGAAGGGGGGGAAGGGCGGGGGCATTAGGCTATTGGGATTGATGGTGAATTAGGGAGAGATGTGTGGAGTGGAGTTTGGGCCCTCGGAACTGAGCCTGGATTAGCCCGAGATGGAAGGAAGGAGCGGTGGGTGCTGCTGGTGGAGGTGGGAGCTGGATGTGACTAAGTCCAGGGTCACTTTTTAATTTGCATGTGAGTTCAAACCTCCCATCCCGTGCCCTCCCATTTCAGCTGGTCTGTCTCCCTGCCTGTTTCCCACATGTGGCAGAGAAAGGGGCTCAGGAGTGGTCTGGGGGCCAGCGCTGATGCATTTAGCCCACAAGGGAGGGAGTGTAGCCAGACAGACAGACAACCTGCACCTGTCTCTGTCTCTATTCAAAAACTGACGTCAGCCATGAACCTTCTGGGCCTCTGGCTCAGCGGTCCCTGTGCCCACACTTCAAATGGGAGGTCACCAGTTTAATACACTGGAATCCTGCCAGCCACGCCGCCTCAGAAATGCTCGGTGCCATGGCCTTTCGAACCACACTTCCCCCATCATTTATAAAGGATTTATGTTTTTGTGTCTTTTATGTGTTTTATTTTTAATTTTTTTCGCTTCTTGAGCCAGGGTCTCTAGGGATGCAATTTGGCCTGGCCTTGAGCTCCCTTTGGAGCCTAGGCTGGTCTCCAACTCCCAACATGCCCCTTATTTGACCAGAAGCAAGGGAGGAAGGAAGGGAGGAAAGAAGGAAGGAAGAAAGGAAGGAAGGAAGGAAGGAAGGAAGGAAGGAAGGAAGGAAGGAAGAAGGAAGGACCACTAAAAGACCATGGTCCATCTGTCCCTCTGTCCCTCCCTCCTTTCATTCCTCTGCTCAGTCCCGGTTGGTTCTGGGGCCAGCCAAGGGTCGTGGGTTTCAGTGTCTGACTCCAACACATGTGGAAGAGGGGGTGTCCTGGTGTGCAGGTGGGAGGTTTCCCAGCTCAGCTAATAAGATATTCCAAAGTCTGTCAATGTAAGCAGCTTGGAATCTGCTGTGTGTGTGTGTCTGTGTGTGTGTGTGTCTGTGTGTGTGTGTGTGTCTGCCTGCCTGTCTGTCTGTCTGTCTTTCTGCCTGTCTACCAGTGATGAACCCAAATGCCATGATTTTGAGTTAGCCATGGGAGGGAGGACAAGCAAGGCGGGGTTAGGCTAGGGTTCGAGTTAGGCTTTGTGTTACTGCTTGGGAAAAGGGTTAGGGTTAGCATTTCAGGCTTCAGGGTGACCTGTCAGTGCTCCGAGGGAGTAGCTGGGTTCCTGAGACGTCAGATTGGTCGCATTTCACCCCAAAAACACACACACACACATGCCCGGTTTCCTACACTCAGGTGAAAACACACACATTCCCCGCTCCTGAACTTCACCCTAATATGCTCACACATGCCAGAATCCCTGGGCTCACCCTCAAAACACACACAAGCCGTCTACCCAAAGCTCATGCTAAATATACACACATGCCCCGTTCCATGGGCTCATTCGGAAAACACAAGCTGGCTCCTTCTCCTACTTCACACTAAAACACACACAAGCCACGTTTCCCACCCTCACCCTAAAATCATTCCCCCAACTCACAGTAACACACACACAATGTCCCATTCACCAGACTCATCCTAATAGATACATACACACGCACAATCCTAGTTCCTCACGCTAACAGACACATGCCACCCCAAATATTGATGTAAGACTCGCTCTCTCTCCCTCTCTCTCTCTCTCTCGCTCTCTCTCTATCTCTCTCTCTGTCTCTCTTTGTCTCTCTCTCTCTCTCTCTCTCTCTCACTTTTGTGACAGGATATCTGTCTGTATTTTGCTGGCGGCTCTGGGTGAAAAACCCTTGTGAAATATGGACGATCCACACTTGGGGAGAAAGGTAGGGCCGAAGTCCCATGAGAAAAGCAGAATGAGCCTTAACCACCCGCAGGAGAGTAAAATCAACTCACTCACTCCACCCAGGAAGCAGAAGACACACAGGTCAGGTGTGTGTCTGTCTGTCTGTCTGTCTGTCTGTCTGTCTGTCTGACTGGGTGTCAGACTCTCGCTAAATCCTTTGCAGGAGGACATCTTTCCTTCTGGTGGTTCACTGTTCAAAGTCTTTGTGATATTTTTTGCTGGCTCCAGGCTGACCAGCGACTCTCTGAGACTTTGGAAACCAGTGATCCAGGCCAGTGGTGGTCACTCAGTGCAGGCCAGCTAAGCTCAGCTCATCTCACTGGACTGCAAATGCATCCATCCTGCTGCTCGGATTCCTCTGTGTGTCTGTCATTCACGAACTCACTTCAGATCTTTTGCATCTCTTTGCTCTCTGACCCATGTTGTAGCTTGGCATAACTGACAGCATCAGCAACAAGCCCAGAATTTCATTTTACTAGTGCCCTGAATTTGACCCAAGAAAATGGAAGGTGACTCAGAATACAAGTCCCATCGGAAATCTAGAATGAGCTGTGGTACCTACAGATTGACAAAAAACATGGAAACCTTCTCACCCAAAGAAGCAGGATTCAGGTGGGGGTCAACTGAAAATGACTGAAAGATTCGAGCCCAAATTGTTTGGAACAGTATCAGGATGTCTTTTGGGATTCTCTCCTTCAGAGACTCTGTCACTTTCCAGTTCACTCAGATGCTGCCGCCTGTTCCATGTTTTGGCCACCAGAGGGCAAAGCTTGCGAACCCAGCCACAGTGGAAGATTCTTAAGTCCAGAGACAGACATAGAAGCAGAGAAAGACATCACAGATACTGCACGCGACACATTCTTTTGAATGGACCTGTCCCGTGTTGGAGGGGGAAACAGGAGGGAGGACGGCACCTCATTTGGAGCGTTAGGCTTAGGCTTAGGCTCAGTGTCAGGGTTTTAGGCAGTGGAAGCTAAGGAAGGTGCTCTGACACTGGCTTTCCTGAGGACTGGCATCTTTCTGGGGTTGCCTGTGGCCTTGCATCTGAGGCCAGTGTTTCTTCCCCCATCTCTGTTTTCATCCATAAGAGACTGGAGGTTGTCAGAGAACTTGGACCCTGGCGGTACCTCTGGGATAATGTACCTGTCCTCTTTAGCCAACAGGGGCGCTGTCTCATTTGGGCAGAAGAGGAGGATGTGCATGTCCACTCAGCCACCAGATGGCGCTGTCTCATCTGAGGAGAGCGTGGCAGGCAGGGAAGCTGATGACACAGTGATGGGGGCTATTTCTCTCTCTCTCTCTTTTGCAGATGACCACCTGGGCTGGCTGTTGGTGTAGACCATGAGCATCTATAGGCTCAGATCCCAGAGCATATACTTTGTGCAGGGAAGGTTTCCCACGTGGCACTGCGGCTTAGGTCGGAGACTGGAGGCCACTGGGTTCCCATACAATCTCTGATGGCTGCTGCTGGACACCAGTACCCTCTGAGGTGGTGCCAGGACCCTCGGATGGCTATAGATATGTATCCTGCCCGTTCTACTGTGCACGTGTGTGTGAGTGTGTGGGGGATGCCTTGCCCCAGCAGGGCCCTCCTACATGTTCGGGCCAAGGGGTCAGGAGATTCGTAAGGAAGGCTATGACCAAGGAAGGAGGCCATCGGGGAGCACCAGGGGGCACCCGCACAGCTGACACACAAATGGACGTGAGGGTCACATGGACTGGTTCACCTGTCTGTGGCAAGTGAAGACAGAAGAACTGTACCGACACACAGATGGGCACATTTTCCTGGGGCCCATGTCTTCGAGGAACCTGCAGCCTTGTCACCCTCTGTCTATCTGTCTGATCAGAAGGGAGTTACCTTGTTACCTGCCACCAAGGGTGCCATAGCAAGCGGTGGCTGTGTCTGATGACAGACAGGAGAGAGGTGGTGCCACGTGTTGTTGGCTGTCTCTGTCTTTGGGCTGCATGTAGGGGAACTCAGGGTTGTGTGTGTATAGGGCTGGGTCAGCATCCAGTGTGTGCCAGGACTGGCCTGGGTCCTTCTGAGAGCAGGCACAGCCCCTGGAATGAATTCCTGCTGTTGGTCTTGCCTGCCTCCATGGGGCCTCCAATGTTGGGGTCTTTTCCCCCTACCCTTACCTTCATCCTGGGCTCTGCATAGATCCTTCAGGCTCATACGATGGTCTGCATCATGCCCACTAGCTACCCTCCAGGGCTAACAATGGAAGGTTGTTGGGGTCACAGAGCAGCCTGATATTGGCTCCTCCTCTGAGGTTGAGGAAAGAGCAGTGCCAGTACCCTCTAAAGGGACTGAATCTCTCTGTAGAGCACAGCCTAGTGTGACCCATATAGTTCCACCCTCCAACTGGGAGGGGGACTGAAGACCTCTAGTTCTGATGAGCCCACCCATCACTGATGAATGTCAGATTCTAATTAAGTCACTTCCAGCAGGACTTCTAGAGCCAGGAGGTGGTTGTTGAGGATTTGGGGAGCAGTGTATTAAGTTGCGGGAGTGGCCCTGGGGGGTTCATGTTAGGTCTACCAGAGGGGTGAGGGTTAGAGATCTGCTGGGATTAGGGAGCCAGTGGCTTAGAGAAGCCCCTATTCACATGAACCCCCACCTCCTACTCCATCCCCCACCCACCACAAAGGAATGCCAGCTTAGGGGCTGGATTAGAAACACCCCCACCTAGAGAGGAAGTTGCTGTGTTGTACCAAAAAGCAACTTGACAGTCTAGTTGAATTGTTCCCCATGGAAAAATTTATTGCATTTCTCTTTTCCTAACGTAGCATCCTGAAACATGGAGAAATCACTGGCTCACCTTAAAAGTCCCATCAGAGCAGCAAAAGGAGCCAGCCAGCAGGGTGAACCACGCCCCTTCCCCAGGCCTGCCTCACACAGGAGACAAAAATCAGCCCTCTTACTTCACCAAAGGAGGCGGGAGGAGAAAGGTGTCTGTCTGTCTGTCTGATGCTGAGTGAAAATCCATGTCAAACTCTAGCTGAATGTCATTTCCAGTGGGATACCTGTCTGCCTGTTTGGTTTGGTGGTTCTCAGATCCAGAGATCCGTGAAAAAACACAGAAAGAGTGTTCAGGCTTGGCTCCCTGGCTCCCAGCCTCCTGCGCTCACACTGGGCACTGATGAGTGCAGGTTCACAACACAAACATGCTCCCCCCGCATCCACCCACACCCCAACTCTAACAACCCACACAGATGTCCTGATCATCACCTATAAAACTGGCATATGAAGCTCAGCTCGGCTCAGCACTGCACTGCTCTGCTTCACTTGGCTCTGCTCAGCTGGGCTCCATAAACCCCACATGTGTCTGTCTATCCATTTGCCCCCTGATTGGACTGACTCCTAGATCATCATCCATGAACCCACTTGGGACCCGTTTCTCTCTGTTTGCTCTCTCTCTCTCTCTCTCTGTCTCTCTCTCTCTCTCTCTGCTTTTTGTCGTGCAAGGGGCCTTGCTTTTAGCTGTCTCTCAGCTGTCCTTGTGGCCCTATGCCTTTTTTCACTCTCTCCTCCCTGCTTTTTCTCAGACCCTAACACCACACACACCCTTATGCCTTGATCTTCACCCGAGAGCCTAACACTCAGGGCTCAGCTGAGCTCTGCTGATGGATCCCAGATCTACCTACTCCTCTTCCTGCCTGTCTGCTGGGATTCCCACATCTGTCCTACACAAACACCTTTGGATCCTCTCTCCGATCCCTCCCTGTTTTCATCCCCAGTCCTGTCCCTTTTACCACCCATCTGCACACTCTCTGTACCTTTCTCTGAGCCCTTAGACTCTTTCTGCCTCACTCTCTCTGTCTGTCTCTCTGTCTCTGTCACTGTCTCTGTCTCTGTCTGTTTCTCTGTCTTTCTCTGTCTCTGCTTTCCTCTGGCCTTTGCCTAGTTTGGGTTCTCTCTGGTTTTGTTTGCAGGGGGAGGAGCTGCAGTCTTTTTTCACTCTCTCGGGTTTTCTCCCTCCCTGGGCTGCTTTCAGTCTCTCTCTGCTTTCTTACCTTCCCCTGGGCTTTTTGGGGCTGGGTCTCAGTTGTTTGTGCAGCCTCACCCATGTCTCTGTTAACTGGGGCCTTCCCCACTCTTTTACAGACCGTAACATCACACAGACACACACACACACACACACACACACACACACACACACACACACACACACACACACATACACACACACACACCTATGCCCTGATCATCAACCATGAGCCTAACACACACAGCAGCTCAGCTCAGCTCAGCTCAGTGGATTCTAATCTAAGCCTCTGCCTGGGTCTTGCTGCTGGGATTGCCCTGTCTGTCTTCAGTCCCTTTGCCTCTTTTGGATCCCTCCCTCCATCCCTCATTCCCCAGTTTATCCCCCCCCCCTCCTTTCCCATTTACCACTGGCTGGGCTGTCCCCTCTGTGCTATTCTCCGGGGGGCCCTTTAACTCTTTGGACATCTCTGTCTCTGGCTGTTTCTCCATCTCTGTCTCTGTCTCTTTCTTTGCTTTTCTCAGGACCTCTGCTCTTTGAAGTTTTACATTCTTGCCTTTTGGCTCTGGGCTCTGTGCTCTGGTTTCTGTGCTGTGGTCTCTGGGCTCTTGGAGGCTGGGCACAGAGTGGAGGGGACTGAGTGAGTGAGTGGGCTGCCTGGGAGTGGCAGACAGGATGCAGGGAGTGGAGTAGGGTGGCAACAGGGTGTTGGTTCCGGAGGCTTAGCTAGAGGAGTGCTGGATTAGGGCAGGCCAGTGGACCCCAGGCAGCTAGGGTTAGGATGGCCTGGGTTAGAATTAGCGCAGGGTTGCAGTTTAGCCAGCCTCTGGGCTTAACAGGCAGGGATTTAGGGAGGCAATGGGCTGCCACGCCCCAGCAGCCATGCCACACCCCAGGCTGGATTGGATCTGCTGTGGGTTCATGCACCATGAATTCCACAGCCTAGGTGAAATTTTCCAAGTGGGAAAAGTCTGTCTGCTGACTGAACATCGAATTCTCCGAGGCTTTCCTGCTTCCTCTCAGCATCCAAGGCCTCCGAGGTTCTCCTGTGTCCCTGAGTCCCTGGCTTTCTGATTTCCAAGATTGGGCAGAGTTCAGTCAAGGTTCCCTGCCTGGCTTTAAACCCTGCTTTGTCTGGGATTTCTGGGTTCCCTGAGCTCCCTGGGTGCCCTGCCTCCTCTATCCTCTCTGCCTCTTCTGGCTGCCCTGGCTGGCTTCCCCAGTCTCCCTCCTGGCTTCCCTGGCACCCCTTCTTCCCAGGCTCCCTGGGCTCCCTGGCTCCTCCTTGCCTTCCTTCCTGGTCCCTGGGTGCTGCTCTGCCTCCCCAGGCTTCTCCGCCTCCTCTGTCTGCCCTGGATTGCCTCCCTGATGTCCTTGCTTCCCGGGCCCCCTTCCTTCCCTGGCTGCTTGCCTTCCTCTGTGCTCCTGGCCTGGCTGCCAGCCTCCTTGCCTTCACCCAGGGGCATCAGCACAGGCCACCCTCCCTCCTAGTCCTCACTGTCCACGTGGCCATCCCATTTTGGTGATTCTCCCATCCAGAGTTCTTTGGAGTACACCCTGCTGATCCCCACTCGCTGATGGCTCTCTGCCCTCTCAGCCCTAATCCTTAATCAGCCCCATATTCTTTTCCACTTTTTTAAAATGAAAATCCTGGGGGCTGGGTGTTTAACTCAGCGGCATAAACACCTGCCTTGCAAGCAGGGGGTCCTGAATTCGATCCCCGGTACAGATAAAAATGAAAAAGACCAAGAAAAAAAAATGAAATGAAAACCCTGCCTCTGAAATCCTGAGTCCACCCCATAATGCCATCCTCCTCCTCAGCCAATGAGCGAGCCAGGAAGTGAGTGAAGGGAAAGGGGACTTCCGGGACACCAGGGTGGTGCCACAGGAGGAGATGAAAGGATTAGGGGCCAGGTTGATGGGATCTGCAGCCAGCATGGAGGGATTAGCTGGGCTGCACGGGCGTGGCCAGATCTTGGGCTCCTGGGCTCCAGGGTTTCCCATGCATTCTCCCTGACTGACCTCAAGCCTTAACAAGCTCAGGCACCAGACACCATGCAGCAGGAGTTAACCAGCCCACACAGCCAGACCTCTGGCTGGCCCTCCAGAGCTCCCCTTCCCTGCTTTCTCTCTCCATTCCCCTCCAGGTTCCCAGGACCCCTCTTGCTGGCCCAGCTCCTGGCTCCCAGCTCTCCCAGGAGCTCTGCCTGCTTGCCTGGCTACCTGCCTGACTTCAGGGACCCCATGACAATGCGGACCAAGAAGAGATGGGGACAACAGCCATCTGCCATGCATCGAGTGAGGTGAGGGTCACTGGACTGAGCCGCCCGCCTGCCCCCCGTGGAGGGGTGTATAGTGGTGCGGTGGAGTTCTGGGCCTCTCCCCTGCCCTCCCCAGCTCAGCCTTCACTGGCTCCATGTTTTCCTCCAGGTTCCTGGGACTTGGCACTCCCAGCTCCTGGATCCTGGCTCACCATGCATCTCCTCCCTCCTGCCAGCCTGCCTGCCCTCCAGGACCCCGTGATGATGCGGGCCACGATGAGTTGAGGCGGACAACAGCTGTCCACCAGACAGCCAGCAAGGTGAGGGTCCTTGTGCCTGGGGGCCCCCATGATGTTTTGTGGTGTGTGGTGCTGGGGTCACTTACTGGGCCACCCGCTGGCCCACCCTTTGCTCAACCCTTGCTCATTGCCTTCCTCCAGGTTCCTGGAACCCAGCTCTCTGGGCTCAGGGCTCTGGCCCCCCCAGCTGCAGCCTCCCAGCTCCAAGCTGCCGGCTCTGCTGGAAGCTCCTACCTGCCTGCCTGCCTGACTGCCTGCTGGCCTTCCTGCCTTCCAGGACCCCACGACGATGAGCAAGAGGAGATGAGGGGGACCACAGCCATCCAGCACACACCACAGCACAGCCAGGTGAGGGTTCTTGAGCAGCCTCCCCCACCCCCCCCACCCCCGTGCATTGTGGAGGGGTCACGTTCTGGGCTGCCCTCTTGCCAGGCTATTGTAGCCTCTGCCACGTAGGCAGGGCCCTTCCTTCCAGCCCTGGGATCCTTCATGCCTCTCCTCTGTGCCTCTTAGGGCCACACACCCACCAGGCTCCAGGGCAGCCATCTGACTTTCACCCATAAAGATGGAAGGAAGGGAAGGAACAAAGAAAGGCTCCCTGCAAACCAAGGGACGAATAAGTGAATGAATGAGTGAATGAACGAATGAAGGAATGTATGAACAGAAGAACCAATAAAGGGAGAATCATCACTGTCTCCATTCATCAGTCCCTCCAGCCCGCCCATTTTTGGACCTCTGCCCTCCTCCTCTCTCCCTCTCTAGGCTTGCTCTCTCTCTCCCTCTGTCTCCCTCTCTCTGTGCTTTCCCCTCCCTCCTCTCCCCTCTCTCCTCACTCTGCCTGCTCTCTGCTGTTTGGGGGTTTGTTTGCTTGGACCACGGTGGTGGCTGCTGCTTCTGCCTTTCCAGCGCTCCACTCCATTTCACCCCCGGCTCTCACCTCCTTTCATTCTTCTCCCTCCTCCTCCTCCTTCTCTCCTCAATACTGATGCTGGACCCACAGATGGACAGAAACTCGGGGCCCCCACCCCAATCCTAGGCACCAACACCAGGGAAGGGGGGGAAGGGCGGGGGCATTAGGCTATTGGGATTGATGGTGAATTAGGGAGAGATGTGTGGAGTGGAGTTTGGGCCCTCGGAACTGAGCCTGGATTAGCCCGAGATGGAAGGAAGGAGCGGTGGGTGCTGCTGGTGGAGGTGGGAGCTGGATGTGACTAAGTCCAGGGTCACTTTTTAATTTGCATGTGAGTTCAAACCTCCCATCCCGTGCCCTCCCATTTCAGCTGGTCTGTCTCCCTGCCTGTTTCCCACATGTGGCAGAGAAAGGGGCTCAGGAGTGGTCTGGGGGCCAGCGCTGATGCATTTAGCCCACAAGGGAGGGAGTGTAGCCAGACAGACAGACAACCTGCACCTGTCTCTGTCTCTATTCAAAAACTGACGTCAGCCATGAACCTTCTGGGCCTCTGGCTCAGCGGTCCCTGTGCCCACACTTCAAATGGGAGGTCACCAGTTTAATACACTGGAATCCTGCCAGCCACGCCGCCTCAGAAATGCTCGGTGCCATGGCCTTTCGAACCACACTTCCCCCATCATTTATAAAGGATTTATGTTTTTGTGTCTTTTATGTGTTTTATTTTTAATTTTTTTCGCTTCTTGAGCCAGGGTCTCTAGGGATGCAATTTGGCCTGGCCTTGAGCTCCCTTTGGAGCCTAGGCTGGTCTCCAACTCCCAACATGCCCCTTATTTGACCAGAAGCAAGGGAGGAAGGAAGGGAGGAAAGAAGGAAGGAAGAAAGGAAGGAAGGAAGGAAGGAAGGAAGGAAGGAAGGAAGGAAGGAAGAAGGAAGGACCACTAAAAGACCATGGTCCATCTGTCCCTCTGTCCCTCCCTCCTTTCATTCCTCTGCTCAGTCCCGGTTGGTTCTGGGGCCAGCCAAGGGTCGTGGGTTTCAGTGTCTGACTCCAACACATGTGGAAGAGGGGGTGTCCTGGTGTGCAGGTGGGAGGTTTCCCAGCTCAGCTAATAAGATATTCCAAAGTCTGTCAATGTAAGCAGCTTGGAATCTGCTGTGTGTGTGTGTCTGTGTGTGTGTGTGTCTGTGTGTGTGTGTGTGTCTGCCTGCCTGTCTGTCTGTCTGTCTTTCTGCCTGTCTACCAGTGATGAACCCAAATGCCATGATTTTGAGTTAGCCATGGGAGGGAGGACAAGCAAGGCGGGGTTAGGCTAGGGTTCGAGTTAGGCTTTGTGTTACTGCTTGGGAAAAGGGTTAGGGTTAGCATTTCAGGCTTCAGGGTGACCTGTCAGTGCTCCGAGGGAGTAGCTGGGTTCCTGAGACGTCAGATTGGTCGCATTTCACCCCAAAAACACACACACACACATGCCCGGTTTCCTACACTCAGGTGAAAACACACACATTCCCCGCTCCTGAACTTCACCCTAATATGCTCACACATGCCAGAATCCCTGGGCTCACCCTCAAAACACACACAAGCCGTCTACCCAAAGCTCATGCTAAATATACACACATGCCCCGTTCCATGGGCTCATTCGGAAAACACAAGCTGGCTCCTTCTCCTACTTCACACTAAAACACACACAAGCCACGTTTCCCACCCTCACCCTAAAATCATTCCCCCAACTCACAGTAACACACACACAATGTCCCATTCACCAGACTCATCCTAATAGATACATACACACGCACAATCCTAGTTCCTCACGCTAACAGACACATGCCACCCCAAATATTGATGTAAGACTCGCTCTCTCTCCCTCTCTCTCTCTCTCTCGCTCTCTCTCTATCTCTCTCTCTGTCTCTCTTTGTCTCTCTCTCTCTCTCTCTCTCTCTCACTTTTGTGACAGGATATCTGTCTGTATTTTGCTGGCGGCTCTGGGTGAAAAACCCTTGTGAAATATGGACGATCCACACTTGGGGAGAAAGGTAGGGCCGAAGTCCCATGAGAAAAGCAGAATGAGCCTTAACCACCCGCAGGAGAGTAAAATCAACTCACTCACTCCACCCAGGAAGCAGAAGACACACAGGTCAGGTGTGTGTCTGTCTGTCTGTCTGTCTGTCTGTCTGTCTGTCTGACTGGGTGTCAGACTCTCGCTAAATCCTTTGCAGGAGGACATCTTTCCTTCTGGTGGTTCACTGTTCAAAGTCTTTGTGATATTTTTTGCTGGCTCCAGGCTGACCAGCGACTCTCTGAGACTTTGGAAACCAGTGATCCAGGCCAGTGGTGGTCACTCAGTGCAGGCCAGCTAAGCTCAGCTCATCTCACTGGACTGCAAATGCATCCATCCTGCTGCTCGGATTCCTCTGTGTGTCTGTCATTCACGAACTCACTTCAGATCTTTTGCATCTCTTTGCTCTCTGACCCATGTTGTAGCTTGGCATAACTGACAGCATCAGCAACAAGCCCAGAATTTCATTTTACTAGTGCCCTGAATTTGACCCAAGAAAATGGAAGGTGACTCAGAATACAAGTCCCATCGGAAATCTAGAATGAGCTGTGGTACCTACAGATTGACAAAAACATGGAAACCTTCTCACCCAAAGAAGCAGGATTCAGGTGTGGGTCAACTGAAAATGACTGAAAGATTCGAGCCAAATTGTTTGGAACAGTATCAGGATGTCTTTTGGGATTCTCTCCTTCAGAGACTCTGTCACTTTCCAGTTCACTCAGATGCTGCCGCCTGTTCCATGTTTTGGCCACCAGAGGGCAAAGCTTGCGAACCCAGCCACAGTGGAAGATTCTTAAGTCCAGAGACAGACATAGAAGCAGAGAAAGACATCACAGATACTGCACGCGACACATTCTTTTGGAATGGACCTGTCCCGTGTTGGAGGGGGAAACAGGAGGGAGGACGGCACCTCATTTGGGAGCGTTAGGCTTAGGCTTAGGCTCAGTGTCAGGGTTTTAGGCAGTGGAAGCTAAGGAAGGTGCTCTGACACTGGCTTTCCTGAGGACTGGCATCTTTCTGGGGTTGCCTGTGGCCTTGCATCTGAGGCCAGTGTTTCTTCCCCATCTCTGTTTTCATCCATAAGAGACTGGAGGTTGTCAGAGAACTTGGACCCTGGCGGTACCTCTGGGATAATGTACCTGTCCTCTTTAGCCAACAGGGGCGCTGTCTCATTTGGGCAGAAGAGGAGGATGTGCATGTCCACTCTAGCCACCAGATGGCGCTGTCTCATCTGAGGAGAGCGTGGCAGGCAGGGAAGCTGATGACACAGTGATGGGGGCTATTTCTCTCTCTCTCTCTTTTGCAGATGACCACCTGGGCTGGCTGTTGGTGTAGACCATGAGCATCTATAGGCTCAGATCCCAGAGCATATACTTTGTGCAGGGAAGGTTTCCCACGTGGCACTGCGGCTTAGGTCGGAGACTGGAGGCCACTGGGTTCCATACCAATCTCTGATGGCTGCTGCTGGACACCAGTACCCTCTGAGGTGGTGCCAGGACCCTCGGATGGCTATAGATATGTATCCTGCCCGTTTCTACTGTGCACGTGTGTGTGAGTGTGTGGGGGATGCCTTGCCCCAGCAGGGCCCTCCTACATGTTCGGGCCAAGGGGTCAGGAGATTCGTAAGGAAGGCTATGACCAAGGAAGGAGGCCATCGGGGAGCACCAGGGGGCACCCGCACAGCTGACACACAAATGGACGTGAGGGTCACATGGACTGGTTCACCTGTCTGTGGCAAGTGAAGACAGAAGAACTGTACCGACACACAGATGGGCACATTTTCCTGGGGCCCATGTCTTCGAGGAACCTGCAGCCTTGTCACCCTCTGTCTATCTGTCTGATCAGAAGGGAGTTACCTTGTTACCTGCCACCAAGGGTGCCATAGCAAGCGGTGGCTGTGTCTGATGACAGACAGGAGAGAGGTGGTGCCACGTGTTGTTGGCTGTCTCTGTCTTTGGGCTGCATGTAGGGGAACTCAGGGTTGTGTGTGTATAGGGCTGGGTCAGCATCCAGTGTGTGCCAGGACTGGCCTGGGTCCTTCTGAGAGCAGGCACAGCCCCTGGAATGAATTCCTGCTGTTGGTCTTGCCTGCCTCCATGGGGCCTCCAATGTTGGGGTCTTTTCCCCCTACCCTTACCTTCATCCTGGGCTCTGCATAGATCCTTCAGGCTCATACGATGGTCTGCATCATGCCCACTAGCTACCCTCCAGGGCTAACAATGGAAGGTTGTTGGGGTCACAGAGCAGCCTGATATTGGCTCCTCCTCTGAGGTTGAGGAAAGAGCAGTGCCAGTACCCTCTAAAGGGACTGAATCTCTCTGTAGAGCACAGCCTAGTGTGACCCATATAGTTCCACCCTCCAACTGGGAGGGGGACTGAAGACCTCTAGTTCTGATGAGCCCACCCATCACTGATGAATGTCAGATTCTAATTAAGTCACTTCCAGCAGGACTTCTAGAGCCAGGAGGTGGTTGTTGAGGATTTGGGGAGCAGTGTATTAAGTTGCGGGAGTGGCCCTGGGGGGTTCATGTTAGGTCTACCAGAGGGGTGAGGGTTAGAGATCTGCTGGGATTAGGGAGCCAGTGGCTTAGAGAAGCCCCTATTCACATGAACCCCCACCTCCTACTCCATCCCCCACCCACCACAAAGGAATGCCAGCTTAGGGGCTGGATTAGAAACACCCCCACCTAGAGAGGAAGTTGCTGTGTTGTACCAAAAAGCAACTTGACAGTCTAGTTGAATTGTTCCCCATGGAAAAATTTATTGCATTTCTCTTTTCCTAACGTAGCATCCTGAAACATGGAGAAATCACTGGCTCACCTTAAAAGTCCCATCAGAGCAGCAAAAGGAGCCAGCCAGCAGGGTGAACCACGCCCCTTCCCCAGGCCTGCCTCACACAGGAGACAAAAATCAGCCCTCTTACTTCACCAAAGGAGGCGGGAGGAGAAAGGTGTCTGTCTGTCTGTCTGATGCTGAGTGAAAATCCATGTCAAACTCTAGCTGAATGTCATTTCCAGTGGGATACCTGTCTGCCTGTTTGGTTTGGTGGTTCTCAGATCCAGAGATCCGTGAAAAAACACAGAAAGAGTGTTCAGGCTTGGCTCCCTGGCTCCCAGCCTCCTGCGCTCACACTGGGCACTGATGAGTGCAGGTTCACAACACAAACATGCTCCCCCCGCATCCACCCACACCCCAACTCTAACAACCCACACAGATGTCCTGATCATCACCTATAAAACTGGCATATGAAGCTCAGCTCGGCTCAGCACTGCACTGCTCTGCTTCACTTGGCTCTGCTCAGCTGGGCTCCATAAACCCCACATGTGTCTGTCTATCCATTTGCCCCCTGATTGGACTGACTCCTAGATCATCATCCATGAACCCACTTGGGACCCGTTTCTCTCTGTTTGCTCTCTCTCTCTCTCTCTCTGTCTCTCTCTCTCTCTCTCTGCTTTTTGTCGTGCAAGGGGCCTTGCTTTTAGCTGTCTCTCAGCTGTCCTTGTGGCCCTATGCCTTTTTTCACTCTCTCCTCCCTGCTTTTTCTCAGACCCTAACACCACACACACCCTTATGCCTTGATCTTCACCCGAGAGCCTAACACTCAGGGCTCAGCTGAGCTCTGCTGATGGATCCCAGATCTACCTACTCCTCTTCCTGCCTGTCTGCTGGGATTCCCACATCTGTCCTACACAAACACCTTTGGATCCTCTCTCCGATCCCTCCCTGTTTTCATCCCCAGTCCTGTCCCTTTTACCACCCATCTGCACACTCTCTGTACCTTTCTCTGAGCCCTTAGACTCTTTCTGCCTCACTCTCTCTGTCTGTCTCTCTGTCTCTGTCACTGTCTCTGTCTCTGTCTGTTTCTCTGTCTTTCTCTGTCTCTGCTTTCCTCTGGCCTTTGCCTAGTTTGGGTTCTCTCTGGTTTTGTTTGCAGGGGGAGGAGCTGCAGTCTTTTTTCACTCTCTCGGGTTTTCTCCCTCCCTGGGCTGCTTTCAGTCTCTCTCTGCTTTCTTACCTTCCCCTGGGCTTTTTGGGGCTGGGTCTCAGTTGTTTGTGCAGCCTCACCCATGTCTCTGTTAACTGGGGCCTTCCCCACTCTTTTACAGACCGTAACATCACACAGACACACACACACACACACACACACACACACACACACACACACACACACACATACACACACACACACCTATGCCCTGATCATCAACCATGAGCCTAACACACACAGCAGCTCAGCTCAGCTCAGCTCAGTGGATTCTAATCTAAGCCTCTGCCTGGGTCTTGCTGCTGGGATTGCCCTGTCTGTCTTCAGTCCCTTTGCCTCTTTTGGATCCCTCCCTCCATCCCTCATTCCCCAGTTTATCCCCCCCCCCTCCTTTCCCATTTACCACTGGCTGGGCTGTCCCCTCTGTGCTATTCTCCGGGGGGCCCTTTAACTCTTTGGACATCTCTGTCTCTGGCTGTTTCTCCATCTCTGTCTCTGTCTCTTTCTTTGCTTTTCTCAGGACCTCTGCTCTTTGAAGTTTTACATTCTTGCCTTTTGGCTCTGGGCTCTGTGCTCTGGTTTCTGTGCTGTGGTCTCTGGGCTCTTGGAGGCTGGGCACAGAGTGGAGGGGACTGAGTGAGTGAGTGGGCTGCCTGGGAGTGGCAGACAGGATGCAGGGAGTGGAGTAGGGTGGCAACAGGGTGTTGGTTCCGGAGGCTTAGCTAGAGGAGTGCTGGATTAGGGCAGGCCAGTGGACCCCAGGCAGCTAGGGTTAGGATGGCCTGGGTTAGAATTAGCGCAGGGTTGCAGTTTAGCCAGCCTCTGGGCTTAACAGGCAGGGATTTAGGGAGGCAATGGGCTGCCACGCCCCAGCAGCCATGCCACACCCCAGGCTGGATTGGATCTGCTGTGGGTTCATGCACCATGAATTCCACAGCCTAGGTGAAATTTTCCAAGTGGGAAAAGTCTGTCTGCTGACTGAACATCGAATTCTCCGAGGCTTTCCTGCTTCCTCTCAGCATCCAAGGCCTCCGAGGTTCTCCTGTGTCCCTGAGTCCCTGGCTTTCTGATTTCCAAGATTGGGCAGAGTTCAGTCAAGGTTCCCTGCCTGGCTTTAAACCCTGCTTTGTCTGGGATTTCTGGGTTCCCTGAGCTCCCTGGGTGCCCTGCCTCCTCTATCCTCTCTGCCTCTTCTGGCTGCCCTGGCTGGCTTCCCCAGTCTCCCTCCTGGCTTCCCTGGCACCCCTTCTTCCCAGGCTCCCTGGGCTCCCTGGCTCCTCCTTGCCTTCCTTCGTGGTCCCTGGGTGCTGCTCTGCCTCCCCAGGCTTCTCCGCCTCCTCTGTCTGCCCTGGATTGCCTCCCTGATGTCCTTGCTTCCCGGGCCCCCTTCCTTCCCTGGCTGCTTGCCTTCCTCTGTGCTCCTGGCCTGGCTGCCAGCCTCCTTGCCTTCACCCAGGGGCATCAGCACAGGCCACCCTCCCTCCTAGTCCTCACTGTCCACGTGGCCATCCCATTTTGGTGATTCTCCCATCCAGAGTTCTTTGGAGTACACCCTGCTGATCCCCACTCGCTGATGGCTCTCTGCCCTCTCAGCCCTAATCCTTAATCAGCCCCATATTCTTTTCCACTTTTTTAAAATGAAAATCCTGGGGGCTGGGTGTTTAACTCAGCGGCATAAACACCTGCCTTGCAAGCAGGGGGTCCTGAATTCGATCCCCGGTACAGATAAAAATGAAAAAGACCAAGAAAAAAAAATGAAATGAAAACCCTGCCTCTGAAATCCTGAGTCCACCCCATAATGCCATCCTCCTCCTCAGCCAATGAGCGAGCCAGGAAGTGAGTGAAGGGAAAGGGGACTTCCGGGACACCAGGGTGGTGCCACAGGAGGAGATGAAAGGATTAGGGGCCAGGTTGATGGGATCTGCAGCCAGCATGGAGGGATTAGCTGGGCTGCACGGGCGTGGCCAGATCTTGGGCTCCTGGGCTCCAGGGTTTCCCATGCATTCTCCCTGACTGACCTCAAGCCTTAACAAGCTCAGGCACCAGACACCATGCAGCAGGAGTTAACCAGCCCACACAGCCAGACCTCTGGCTGGCCCTCCAGAGCTCCCCTTCCCTGCTTTCTCTCTCCATTCCCCTCCAGGTTCCCAGGACCCCTCTTGCTGGCCCAGCTCCTGGCTCCCAGCTCTCCCAGGAGCTCTGCCTGCTTGCCTGGCTACCTGCCTGACTTCAGGGACCCCATGACAATGCGGACCAAGAAGAGATGGGGACAACAGCCATCTGCCATGCATCGAGTGAGGTGAGGGTCACTGGACTGAGCCGCCCGCCTGCCCCCCGTGGAGGGGTGTATAGTGGTGCGGTGGAGTTCTGGGCCTCTCCCCTGCCCTCCCCAGCTCAGCCTTCACTGGCTCCATGTTTTCCTCCAGGTTCCTGGGACTTGGCACTCCCAGCTCCTGGATCCTGGCTCACCATGCATCTCCTCCCTCCTGCCAGCCTGCCTGCCCTCCAGGACCCCGTGATGATGCGGGCCACGATGAGTTGAGGCGGACAACAGCTGTCCACCAGACAGCCAGCAAGGTGAGGGTCCTTGTGCCTGGGGGCCCCCATGATGTTTTGTGGTGTGTGGTGCTGGGGTCACTTACTGGGCCACCCGCTGGCCCACCCTTTGCTCAACCCTTGCTCATTGCCTTCCTCCAGGTTCCTGGAACCCAGCTCTCTGGGCTCAGGGCTCTGGCCCCCCCAGCTGCAGCCTCCCAGCTCCAAGCTGCCGGCTCTGCTGGAAGCTCCTACCTGCCTGCCTGCCTGACTGCCTGCTGGCCTTCCTGCCTTCCAGGACCCCACGACGATGAGCAAGAGGAGATGAGGGGGACCACAGCCATCCAGCACACACCACAGCACAGCCAGGTGAGGGTTCTTGAGCAGCCTCCCCCACCCCCCCCACCCCCGTGCATTGTGGAGGGGTCACGTTCTGGGCTGCCCTCTTGCCAGGCTATTGTAGCCTCTGCCACGTAGGCAGGGCCCTTCCTTCCAGCCCTGGGATCCTTCATGCCTCTCCTCTGTGCCTCTTAGGGCCACACACCCACCAGGCTCCAGGGCAGCCATCTGACTTTCACCCATAAAGATGGAAGGAAGGGAAGGAACAAAGAAAGGCTCCCTGCAAACCAAGGGACGAATAAGTGAATGAATGAGTGAATGAACGAATGAAGGAATGTATGAACAGAAGAACCAATAAAGGGAGAATCATCACTGTCTCCATTCATCAGTCCCTCCAGCCCGCCCATTTTTGGACCTCTGCCCTCCTCCTCTCTCCCTCTCTAGGCTTGCTCTCTCTCTCCCTCTGTCTCCCTCTCTCTGTGCTTTCCCCTCCCTCCTCTCCCCTCTCTCCTCACTCTGCCTGCTCTCTGCTGTTTGGGGGTTTGTTTGCTTGGACCACGGTGGTGGCTGCTGCTTCTGCCTTTCCAGCGCTCCACTCCATTTCACCCCCGGCTCTCACCTCCTTTCATTCTTCTCCCTCCTCCTCCTCCTTCTCTCCTCAATACTGATGCTGGACCCACAGATGGACAGAAACTCGGGGCCCCCACCCCAATCCTAGGCACCAACACCAGGGAAGGGGGGGAAGGGCGGGGGCATTAGGCTATTGGGATTGATGGTGAATTAGGGAGAGATGTGTGGAGTGGAGTTTGGGCCCTCGGAACTGAGCCTGGATTAGCCCGAGATGGAAGGAAGGAGCGGTGGGTGCTGCTGGTGGAGGTGGGAGCTGGATGTGACTAAGTCCAGGGTCACTTTTTAATTTGCATGTGAGTTCAAACCTCCCATCCCGTGCCCTCCCATTTCAGCTGGTCTGTCTCCCTGCCTGTTTCCCACATGTGGCAGAGAAAGGGGCTCAGGAGTGGTCTGGGGGCCAGCGCTGATGCATTTAGCCCACAAGGGAGGGAGTGTAGCCAGACAGACAGACAACCTGCACCTGTCTCTGTCTCTATTCAAAAACTGACGTCAGCCATGAACCTTCTGGGCCTCTGGCTCAGCGGTCCCTGTGCCCACACTTCAAATGGGAGGTCACCAGTTTAATACACTGGAATCCTGCCAGCCACGCCGCCTCAGAAATGCTCGGTGCCATGGCCTTTCGAACCACACTTCCCCCATCATTTATAAAGGATTTATGTTTTTGTGTCTTTTATGTGTTTTATTTTTAATTTTTTTCGCTTCTTGAGCCAGGGTCTCTAGGGATGCAATTTGGCCTGGCCTTGAGCTCCCTTTGGAGCCTAGGCTGGTCTCCAACTCCCAACATGCCCCTTATTTGACCAGAAGCAAGGGAGGAAGGAAGGGAGGAAAGAAGGAAGGAAGAAAGGAAGGAAGGAAGGAAGGAAGGAAGGAAGGAAGGAAGGAAGAAGGAAGGACCACTAAAAGACCATGGTCCATCTGTCCCTCTGTCCCTCCCTCCTTTCATTCCTCTGCTCAGTCCCGGTTGGTTCTGGGGCCAGCCAAGGGTCGTGGGTTTCAGTGTCTGACTCCAACACATGTGGAAGAGGGGGTGTCCTGGTGTGCAGGTGGGAGGTTTCCCAGCTCAGCTAATAAGATATTCCAAAGTCTGTCAATGTAAGCAGCTTGGAATCTGCTGTGTGTGTGTGTCTGTGTGTGTGTGTGTCTGTGTGTGTGTGTGTGTCTGCCTGCCTGTCTGTCTGTCTGTCTTTCTGCCTGTCTACCAGTGATGAACCCAAATGCCATGATTTTGAGTTAGCCATGGGAGGGAGGACAAGCAAGGCGGGGTTAGGCTAGGGTTCGAGTTAGGCTTTGTGTTACTGCTTGGGAAAAGGGTTAGGGTTAGCATTTCAGGCTTCAGGGTGACCTGTCAGTGCTCCGAGGGAGTAGCTGGGTTCCTGAGACGTCAGATTGGTCGCATTTCACCCCAAAAACACACACACACACATGCCCGGTTTCCTACACTCAGGTGAAAACACACACATTCCCCGCTCCTGAACTTCACCCTAATATGCTCACACATGCCAGAATCCCTGGGCTCACCCTCAAAACACACACAAGCCGTCTACCCAAAGCTCATGCTAAATATACACACATGCCCCGTTCCATGGGCTCATTCGGAAAACACAAGCTGGCTCCTTCTCCTACTTCACACTAAAACACACACAAGCCACGTTTCCCACCCTCACCCTAAAATCATTCCCCCAACTCACAGTAACACACACACAATGTCCCATTCACCAGACTCATCCTAATAGATACATACACACGCACAATCCTAGTTCCTCACGCTAACAGACACATGCCACCCCAAATATTGATGTAAGACTCGCTCTCTCTCCCTCTCTCTCTCTCTCTCGCTCTCTCTCTATCTCTCTCTCTGTCTCTCTTTGTCTCTCTCTCTCTCTCTCTCTCTCTCACTTTTGTGACAGGATATCTGTCTGTATTTTGCTGGCGGCTCTGGGTGAAAAACCCTTGTGAAATATGGACGATCCACACTTGGGGAGAAAGGTAGGGCCGAAGTCCCATGAGAAAAGCAGAATGAGCCTTAACCACCCGCAGGAGAGTAAAATCAACTCACTCACTCCACCCAGGAAGCAGAAGACACACAGGTCAGGTGTGTGTCTGTCTGTCTGTCTGTCTGTCTGTCTGTCTGTCTGACTGGGTGTCAGACTCTCGCTAAATCCTTTGCAGGAGGACATCTTTCCTTCTGGTGGTTCACTGTTCAAAGTCTTTGTGATATTTTTTGCTGGCTCCAGGCTGACCAGCGACTCTCTGAGACTTTGGAAACCAGTGATCCAGGCCAGTGGTGGTCACTCAGTGCAGGCCAGCTAAGCTCAGCTCATCTCACTGGACTGCAAATGCATCCATCCTGCTGCTCGGATTCCTCTGTGTGTCTGTCATTCACGAACTCACTTCAGATCTTTTGCATCTCTTTGCTCTCTGACCCATGTTGTAGCTTGGCATAACTGACAGCATCAGCAACAAGCCCAGAATTTCATTTTACTAGTGCCCTGAATTTGACCCAAGAAAATGGAAGGTGACTCAGAATACAAGTCCCATCGGAAATCTAGAATGAGCTGTGGTACCTACAGATTGACAAAAACATGGAAACCTTCTCACCCAAAGAAGCAGGATTCAGGTGTGGGTCAACTGAAAATGACTGAAAGATTCGAGCCAAATTGTTTGGAACAGTATCAGGATGTCTTTTGGGATTCTCTCCTTCAGAGACTCTGTCACTTTCCAGTTCACTCAGATGCTGCCGCCTGTTCCATGTTTTGGCCACCAGAGGGCAAAGCTTGCGAACCCAGCCACAGTGGAAGATTCTTAAGTCCAGAGACAGACATAGAAGCAGAGAAAGACATCACAGATACTGCACGCGACACATTCTTTTGGAATGGACCTGTCCCGTGTTGGAGGGGGAAACAGGAGGGAGGACGGCACCTCATTTGGGAGCGTTAGGCTTAGGCTTAGGCTCAGTGTCAGGGTTTTAGGCAGTGGAAGCTAAGGAAGGTGCTCTGACACTGGCTTTCCTGAGGACTGGCATCTTTCTGGGGTTGCCTGTGGCCTTGCATCTGAGGCCAGTGTTTCTTCCCCATCTCTGTTTTCATCCATAAGAGACTGGAGGTTGTCAGAGAACTTGGACCCTGGCGGTACCTCTGGGATAATGTACCTGTCCTCTTTAGCCAACAGGGGCGCTGTCTCATTTGGGCAGAAGAGGAGGATGTGCATGTCCACTCTAGCCACCAGATGGCGCTGTCTCATCTGAGGAGAGCGTGGCAGGCAGGGAAGCTGATGACACAGTGATGGGGGCTATTTCTCTCTCTCTCTCTTTTGCAGATGACCACCTGGGCTGGCTGTTGGTGTAGACCATGAGCATCTATAGGCTCAGATCCCAGAGCATATACTTTGTGCAGGGAAGGTTTCCCACGTGGCACTGCGGCTTAGGTCGGAGACTGGAGGCCACTGGGTTCCATACCAATCTCTGATGGCTGCTGCTGGACACCAGTACCCTCTGAGGTGGTGCCAGGACCCTCGGATGGCTATAGATATGTATCCTGCCCGTTTCTACTGTGCACGTGTGTGTGAGTGTGTGGGGGATGCCTTGCCCCAGCAGGGCCCTCCTACATGTTCGGGCCAAGGGGTCAGGAGATTCGTAAGGAAGGCTATGACCAAGGAAGGAGGCCATCGGGGAGCACCAGGGGGCACCCGCACAGCTGACACACAAATGGACGTGAGGGTCACATGGACTGGTTCACCTGTCTGTGGCAAGTGAAGACAGAAGAACTGTACCGACACACAGATGGGCACATTTTCCTGGGGCCCATGTCTTCGAGGAACCTGCAGCCTTGTCACCCTCTGTCTATCTGTCTGATCAGAAGGGAGTTACCTTGTTACCTGCCACCAAGGGTGCCATAGCAAGCGGTGGCTGTGTCTGATGACAGACAGGAGAGAGGTGGTGCCACGTGTTGTTGGCTGTCTCTGTCTTTGGGCTGCATGTAGGGGAACTCAGGGTTGTGTGTGTATAGGGCTGGGTCAGCATCCAGTGTGTGCCAGGACTGGCCTGGGTCCTTCTGAGAGCAGGCACAGCCCCTGGAATGAATTCCTGCTGTTGGTCTTGCCTGCCTCCATGGGGCCTCCAATGTTGGGGTCTTTTCCCCCTACCCTTACCTTCATCCTGGGCTCTGCATAGATCCTTCAGGCTCATACGATGGTCTGCATCATGCCCACTAGCTACCCTCCAGGGCTAACAATGGAAGGTTGTTGGGGTCACAGAGCAGCCTGATATTGGCTCCTCCTCTGAGGTTGAGGAAAGAGCAGTGCCAGTACCCTCTAAAGGGACTGAATCTCTCTGTAGAGCACAGCCTAGTGTGACCCATATAGTTCCACCCTCCAACTGGGAGGGGGACTGAAGACCTCTAGTTCTGATGAGCCCACCCATCACTGATGAATGTCAGATTCTAATTAAGTCACTTCCAGCAGGACTTCTAGAGCCAGGAGGTGGTTGTTGAGGATTTGGGGAGCAGTGTATTAAGTTGCGGGAGTGGCCCTGGGGGGTTCATGTTAGGTCTACCAGAGGGGTGAGGGTTAGAGATCTGCTGGGATTAGGGAGCCAGTGGCTTAGAGAAGCCCCTATTCACATGAACCCCCACCTCCTACTCCATCCCCCACCCACCACAAAGGAATGCCAGCTTAGAGGCTGGATTAGAAACACCCCCACCTAGAGAGGAAGTTGCTGTGTTGTACCAAAAAGCAACTTGACAGTCTAGTTGAATTGTTCCCCATGGAAAAATTTATTGCATTTCTCTTTTCCTAACGTAGCATCCTGAAACATGGAGAAATCACTGGCTCACCTTAAAAGTCCCATCAGAGCAGCAAAAGGAGCCAGCCAGCAGGGTGAACCACGCCCCTTCCCCAGGCCTGCCTCACACAGGAGACAAAAATCAGCCCTCTTACTTCACCAAAGGAGGCGGGAGGAGAAAGGTGTCTGTCTGTCTGTCTGATGCTGAGTGAAAATCCATGTCAAACTCTAGCTGAATGTCATTTCCAGTGGGATACCTGTCTGCCTGTTTGGTTTGGTGGTTCTCAGATCCAGAGATCCGTGAAAAAACACAGAAAGAGTGTTCAGGCTTGGCTCCCTGGCTCCCAGCCTCCTGCGCTCACACTGGGCACTGATGAGTGCAGGTTCACAACACAAACATGCTCCCCCCGCATCCACCCACACCCCAACTCTAACAACCCACACAGATGTCCTGATCATCACCTATAAAACTGGCATATGAAGCTCAGCTCGGCTCAGCACTGCACTGCTCTGCTTCACTTGGCTCTGCTCAGCTGGGCTCCATAAACCCCACATGTGTCTGTCTATCCATTTGCCCCCTGATTGGACTGACTCCTAGATCATCATCCATGAACCCACTTGGGACCCGTTTCTCTCTGTTTGCTCTCTCTCTCTCTCTCTCTGTCTCTCTCTCTCTCTCTCTGCTTTTTGTCGTGCAAGGGGCCTTGCTTTTAGCTGTCTCTCAGCTGTCCTTGTGGCCCTATGCCTTTTTTCACTCTCTCCTCCCTGCTTTTTCTCAGACCCTAACACCACACACACCCTTATGCCTTGATCTTCACCCGAGAGCCTAACACTCAGGGCTCAGCTGAGCTCTGCTGATGGATCCCAGATCTACCTACTCCTCTTCCTGCCTGTCTGCTGGGATTCCCACATCTGTCCTACACAAACACCTTTGGATCCTCTCTCCGATCCCTCCCTGTTTTCATCCCCAGTCCTGTCCCTTTTACCACCCATCTGCACACTCTCTGTACCTTTCTCTGAGCCCTTAGACTCTTTCTGCCTCACTCTCTCTGTCTGTCTCTCTGTCTCTGTCACTGTCTCTGTCTCTGTCTGTTTCTCTGTCTTTCTCTGTCTCTGCTTTCCTCTGGCCTTTGCCTAGTTTGGGTTCTCTCTGGTTTTGTTTGCAGGGGGAGGAGCTGCAGTCTTTTTTCACTCTCTCGGGTTTTCTCCCTCCCTGGGCTGCTTTCAGTCTCTCTCTGCTTTCTTACCTTCCCCTGGGCTTTTTGGGGCTGGGTCTCAGTTGTTTGTGCAGCCTCACCCATGTCTCTGTTAACTGGGGCCTTCCCCACTCTTTTACAGACCGTAACATCACACAGACACACACACACACACACACACACACACACACACACACACACACACACATACACACACACACACCTATGCCCTGATCATCAACCATGAGCCTAACACACACAGCAGCTCAGCTCAGCTCAGCTCAGTGGATTCTAATCTAAGCCTCTGCCTGGGTCTTGCTGCTGGGATTGCCCTGTCTGTCTTCAGTCCCTTTGCCTCTTTTGGATCCCTCCCTCCATCCCTCATTCCCCAGTTTATCCCCCCCCCCTCCTTTCCCATTTACCACTGGCTGGGCTGTCCCCTCTGTGCTATTCTCCGGGGGGCCCTTTAACTCTTTGGACATCTCTGTCTCTGGCTGTTTCTCCATCTCTGTCTCTGTCTCTTTCTTTGCTTTTCTCAGGACCTCTGCTCTTTGAAGTTTTACATTCTTGCCTTTTGGCTCTGGGCTCTGTGCTCTGGTTTCTGTGCTGTGGTCTCTGGGCTCTTGGAGGCTGGGCACAGAGTGGAGGGGACTGAGTGAGTGAGTGGGCTGCCTGGGAGTGGCAGACAGGATGCAGGGAGTGGAGTAGGGTGGCAACAGGGTGTTGGTTCCGGAGGCTTAGCTAGAGGAGTGCTGGATTAGGGCAGGCCAGTGGACCCCAGGCAGCTAGGGTTAGGATGGCCTGGGTTAGAATTAGCGCAGGGTTGCAGTTTAGCCAGCCTCTGGGCTTAACAGGCAGGGATTTAGGGAGGCAATGGGCTGCCACGCCCCAGCAGCCATGCCACACCCCAGGCTGGATTGGATCTGCTGTGGGTTCATGCACCATGAATTCCACAGCCTAGGTGAAATTTTCCAAGTGGGAAAAGTCTGTCTGCTGACTGAACATCGAATTCTCCGAGGCTTTCCTGCTTCCTCTCAGCATCCAAGGCCTCCGAGGTTCTCCTGTGTCCCTGAGTCCCTGGCTTTCTGATTTCCAAGATTGGGCAGAGTTCAGTCAAGGTTCCCTGCCTGGCTTTAAACCCTGCTTTGTCTGGGATTTCTGGGTTCCCTGAGCTCCCTGGGTGCCCTGCCTCCTCTATCCTCTCTGCCTCTTCTGGCTGCCCTGGCTGGCTTCCCCAGTCTCCCTCCTGGCTTCCCTGGCACCCCTTCTTCCCAGGCTCCCTGGGCTCCCTGGCTCCTCCTTGCCTTCCTTCGTGGTCCCTGGGTGCTGCTCTGCCTCCCCAGGCTTCTCCGCCTCCTCTGTCTGCCCTGGATTGCCTCCCTGATGTCCTTGCTTCCCGGGCCCCCTTCCTTCCCTGGCTGCTTGCCTTCCTCTGTGCTCCTGGCCTGGCTGCCAGCCTCCTTGCCTTCACCCAGGGGCATCAGCACAGGCCACCCTCCCTCCTAGTCCTCACTGTCCACGTGGCCATCCCATTTTGGTGATTCTCCCATCCAGAGTTCTTTGGAGTACACCCTGCTGATCCCCACTCGCTGATGGCTCTCTGCCCTCTCAGCCCTAATCCTTAATCAGCCCCATATTCTTTTCCACTTTTTTAAAATGAAAATCCTGGGGGCTGGGTGTTTAACTCAGCGGCATAAACACCTGCCTTGCAAGCAGGGGGTCCTGAATTCGATCCCCGGTACAGATAAAAATGAAAAAGACCAAGAAAAAAAAATGAAATGAAAACCCTGCCTCTGAAATCCTGAGTCCACCCCATAATGCCATCCTCCTCCTCAGCCAATGAGCGAGCCAGGAAGTGAGTGAAGGGAAAGGGGACTTCCGGGACACCAGGGTGGTGCCACAGGAGGAGATGAAAGGATTAGGGGCCAGGTTGATGGGATCTGCAGCCAGCATGGAGGGATTAGCTGGGCTGCACGGGCGTGGCCAGATCTTGGGCTCCTGGGCTCCAGGGTTTCCCATGCATTCTCCCTGACTGACCTCAAGCCTTAACAAGCTCAGGCACCAGACACCATGCAGCAGGAGTTAACCAGCCCACACAGCCAGACCTCTGGCTGGCCCTCCAGAGCTCCCCTTCCCTGCTTTCTCTCTCCATTCCCCTCCAGGTTCCCAGGACCCCTCTTGCTGGCCCAGCTCCTGGCTCCCAGCTCTCCCAGGAGCTCTGCCTGCTTGCCTGGCTACCTGCCTGACTTCAGGGACCCCATGACAATGCGGACCAAGAAGAGATGGGGACAACAGCCATCTGCCATGCATCGAGTGAGGTGAGGGTCACTGGACTGAGCCGCCCGCCTGCCCCCCGTGGAGGGGTGTATAGTGGTGCGGTGGAGTTCTGGGCCTCTCCCCTGCCCTCCCCAGCTCAGCCTTCACTGGCTCCATGTTTTCCTCCAGGTTCCTGGGACTTGGCACTCCCAGCTCCTGGATCCTGGCTCACCATGCATCTCCTCCCTCCTGCCAGCCTGCCTGCCCTCCAGGACCCCGTGATGATGCGGGCCACGATGAGTTGAGGCGGACAACAGCTGTCCACCAGACAGCCAGCAAGGTGAGGGTCCTTGTGCCTGGGGGCCCCCATGATGTTTTGTGGTGTGTGGTGCTGGGGTCACTTACTGGGCCACCCGCTGGCCCACCCTTTGCTCAACCCTTGCTCATTGCCTTCCTCCAGGTTCCTGGAACCCAGCTCTCTGGGCTCAGGGCTCTGGCCCCCCCAGCTGCAGCCTCCCAGCTCCAAGCTGCCGGCTCTGCTGGAAGCTCCTACCTGCCTGCCTGCCTGACTGCCTGCTGGCCTTCCTGCCTTCCAGGACCCCACGACGATGAGCAAGAGGAGATGAGGGGGACCACAGCCATCCAGCACACACCACAGCACAGCCAGGTGAGGGTTCTTGAGCAGCCTCCCCCACCCCCCCCACCCCCGTGCATTGTGGAGGGGTCACGTTCTGGGCTGCCCTCTTGCCAGGCTATTGCAGCCTCTGCCACGTAGGCAGGGCCCTTCCTTCCAGCCCTGGGATCCTTCATGCCTCTCCTCTGTGCCTCTTAGGGCCACACACCCACCAGGCTCCAGGGCAGCCATCTGACTTTCACCCATAAAGATGGAAGGAAGGGAAGGAACAAAGAAAGGCTCCCTGCAAACCAAGGGACGAATAAGTGAATGAATGAGTGAATGAACGAATGAAGGAATGTATGAACAGAAGAACCAATAAAGGGAGAATCATCACTGTCTCCATTCATCAGTCCCTCCACCCCGCCCATTTTTGGACCTCTGCCCTCCTCCTTTCTCCCTCACCAGGCTTGCTCTCTCTCTCCCTCTGTCTCCCTCTGTCTCTGTGCTTTCCCCTCCCTCCTCTCTCCTCTCTCCTCACTCTGCCTGCTCTCTGCTGTTTGGGGGTTTGTTTGCTTGGACCACGGTGGTGGCTGCTGCTTCTGCCTTTCCAGCGCTCCACTCCATTTCACCCCCGGCTCTCACCTCCTTTCATTCTTCTCCCTCCTCCTCCTCCTTCTCTCCTCAATACTGATGCTGGAACCACAGATGGACAGAAACTCGGGGCCCCCACCCCAATCCTAGGCACCAAGACCAGGGGAAGGGGTGGAAGGGTGGGGGCATTAGCCTCTTGGGATTGATGGTGAATTAGGGAGAGATGTGTGGAGTGGAGTTTGGGCCCTCGGAACTGAGCCTGGATTAGCCAGAGATGGAAGGAAGGAGCGGTGGGTGCTGCTGGTGGAGGTGGGAGCTGGATGTGACTAAGTCCAGGGTCACTTTTTAATTTGCATGTGAGTTCAAACCTCCCATCCCGTGCCCTCCCATTTCAGCTGGTCTGTCTCCCTGCCTGTTTCCCACATGTGGCAGAGAAAGGGGCTCAGGAGTGGTCTGGGTGCCAGCGCTGATGCATTTAGCCCACAAGGGAGGGAGTGTAGCCAGACAGACAGACAACCTGCACCTGTCTCTGTCTCTATTCAAAAACGGAAGTCAGCCATGAACCTTCTGGGCCTCTGGCTCAGCGGTCCCTGTGCCCACACTTCAAATGGGAGGTCACCAGTTTAATACACTGGAATCCTGCCAGCCACGCCGCCTCAGAAATGCTCGGTGCCATGGCCTTTCGAACCACACTTCCCCCATCATTTATAAAGGATTTATGTTTTTGTGTCTTTTATGTGTTTTATTTTTAATTTTTTTCGCTTCTTGAGCCAGGGTCTCTAGGGATGCAATTTGGCCTGGCCTTGAGCTCCCTTTGGAGCCTAGGCTGGTCTCCAACTCCCAACATGCCCCTTATTTGACCAGAAGCAAGGGAGGAAGGAAGGGAGGAAAGAAGGAAGGAAGAAAGGAAGGAAGGAAGGAAGGAAGGAAGGAAGGAAGGAAGGAAGGAAGGAAGGAAGAAGGAAGGACCACTAAAAGACCATGGTCCATCTGTCCCTCTGTCCCTCCCTCCTTTCATTCCTCTGCTCAGTCCCGGTTGGTTCTGGGGCCAGCCAAGGGTCGTGGGTTTCAGTGTCTGACTCCAACACATGTGGAAGAGGGGGTGTCCTGGTGTGCAGGTGGGAGGTTTCCCAGCTCAGCTAATAAGATATTCCAAAGCCTGTCAATGTAAGCAGCTTGGAATCTGCTGTGTGTGTGTGTCTGTGTGTGTGTGTGTCTGTGTGTGTGTGTGTGTCTGCCTGTCTGTCTGTCTGTCTGTCTTTCTGCCTGTCTACCAGTGATGAACCCAAATGCCATGATTTTGAGTTAGCCATGGGAGGGAGGACAAGCAAGGCGGGGTTAGGGCTAGGGTTCGAGTTAGGCTTTGTGTTACTGTTTGAGAAAAGGGTTAGGGTTAGGATTTCAGGCTTCAGGGTGACCTGTCAGTGCTCCGAGGGAGTAGCTGGGTTCCTGAGACGTCAGATTGGTCGCATTTCACCCCAAAAACACACACACATGCCCGGATTCCTACACTCAGCTTGAAAACACACACATTCCCCGCTCCTGAACTTCACCCTAATATGCTCACACATGCCAGAATCCCTGGGATCACCCTGAAAACACACACAAGCCCTGCTCGCCTTTACACTAAAACACACACACGACGTCTACCCCAAGCTCATGCTAAATATACACACATGCCCGTTCCATGGGCTCATTCGGAAAACACAAGCTGGCTCCTTCTCCTACTTCACACTAAAACACACACACAAGCCACGTTTCCCACCCTCACCCTAAAATCATACCAACTCACAGTAACACACACACAATGTCCCACTCACCAGACTCATCCTAATAGATACATACACACGCACAATCCTAGTTCCTCACGCTAACAGACACATGCCACCCCAAATATTGATGCAAGACTCGCTCTCTCTCCCTCTCTCTCTCTCTCTCGCTCTCTCTCTCTCTCTCTCTCTCTGTCTCTCTTTGTCTCTCTCTCTCTCTCTCTCTCTCTCTCTCTCTCTCTCTCTCTCACTTTTGTGACAGGATATCTGTCTGTATTTTGCTGGCGGTTCTGGGTGAAAAACCCTTGTGAAATATGGACGATCCACACTTGGGGAGAAAGGTAGGGCCGAAGTCCCATGAGAAAAGCAGAATGAGCCTTAACCACCCGCAGGAGAGTAAAATCAACCCACTCACTCCACCCAGGAAGCAGAAGACACACAGGTCAGGTGTCTGTCTGTCTGTCTGTCTGTCTGTCTGTCTGACTGGGTGTCAGACTCTCGCTAAATCCTTTGCAGGGGGACATCTTTCCTTCTGGTGGTTCACTGTTCAAAGTCTTTGTGATATTTTTTGCTGGCTCCAGGCTGACCAGCGACTCTCTGAGACTTTGGAAACCAGTGATCCAGGCCAGTGGTGGTCACTCAGTGCAGGCCAGCTAAGCTCAGCTCATCTCACTGGACTGCAAATGCATCCATCCTGCTGCTCGGATTCCTCTGTGTGTCTGTCATTCACGAACTCACTTCAGATCTTTTGCATCTCTTTGCTCTCTGACCCATGTTGTAGCTTGGCATAACTGACAGCATCAGCAACAAGCCCAGAATTTCATTTTACTAGTGCCCTGAATTTGACCCAAGAAAATGGAAGGTGACTCAGAATACAAGTCCCATCGGAAATCTAGAATGAGCTGTGGTACCTACAGATTGACAAAAACATGGAAACCTTCTCACCCAAAGAAGCAGGATTCAGGTGTGGGTCAACTGAAAATGACTGAAAGATTCGAGCCAAATTGTTTGGAACAGTATCAGGATGTCTTTTGGGATTCTCTCCTTCAGAGACTCTGTCACTTTCCAGTTCACTCAGATGCTGCCGCCTGTTCCATGTTTTGGCCACCAGAGGGCAAAGCTTGCGAACCCAGCCACAGTGGAAGATTCTTAAGTCCAGAGACAGACATAGAAGCAGAGAAAGACATCACAGATACTGCACGCGACACATTCTTTTGGAATGGACCTGTCCCGTGTTGGAGGGGGAAACAGGAGGGAGGACGGCACCTCATTTGGGAGCGTTAGGCTTAGGCTTAGGCTCAGTGTCAGGGTTTTAGGCAGTGGAAGCTAAGGAAGGTGCTCTGACACTGGCTTTCCTGAGGACTGGCATCTTTCTGGGGTTGCCTGTGGCCTTGCATCTGAGGCCAGTGTTTCTTCCCCATCTCTGTTTTCATCCATAAGAGACTGGAGGTTGTCAGAGAACTTGGACCCTGGCGGTACCTCTGGGATAATGTACCTGTCCTCTTTAGCCAACAGGGGCGCTGTCTCATTTGGGCAGAAGAGGAGGATGTGCATGTCCACTCTAGCCACCAGATGGCGCTGTCTCATCTGAGGAGAGCGTGGCAGGCAGGGAAGCTGATGACACAGTGATGGGGGCTATTTCTCTCTCTCTCTCTTTTGCAGATGACCACCTGGGCTGGCTGTTGGTGTAGACCATGAGCATCTATAGGCTCAGATCCCAGAGCATATACTTTGTGCAGGGAAGGTTTCCCACGTGGCACTGCGGCTTAGGTCGGAGACTGGAGGCCACTGGGTTCCATACCAATCTCTGATGGCTGCTGCTGGACACCAGTACCCTCTGAGGTGGTGCCAGGACCCTCGGATGGCTATAGATATGTATCCTGCCCGTTTCTACTGTGCACGTGTGTGTGAGTGTGTGGGGGATGCCTTGCCCCAGCAGGGCCCTCCTACATGTTCGGGCCAAGGGGTCAGGAGATTCGTAAGGAAGGCTATGACCAAGGAAGGAGGCCATCGGGGAGCACCAGGGGGCACCCGCACAGCTGACACACAAATGGACGTGAGGGTCACATGGACTGGTTCACCTGTCTGTGGCAAGTGAAGACAGAAGAACTGTACCGACACACAGATGGGCACATTTTCCTGGGGCCCATGTCTTCGAGGAACCTGCAGCCTTGTCACCCTCTGTCTATCTGTCTGATCAGAAGGGAGTTACCTTGTTACCTGCCACCAAGGGTGCCATAGCAAGCGGTGGCTGTGTCTGATGACAGACAGGAGAGAGGTGGTGCCACGTGTTGTTGGCTGTCTCTGTCTTTGGGCTGCATGTAGGGGAACTCAGGGTTGTGTGTGTATAGGGCTGGGTCAGCATCCAGTGTGTGCCAGGACTGGCCTGGGTCCTTCTGAGAGCAGGCACAGCCCCTGGAATGAATTCCTGCTGTTGGTCTTGCCTGCCTCCATGGGGCCTCCAATGTTGGGGTCTTTTCCCCCTACCCTTACCTTCATCCTGGGCTCTGCATAGATCCTTCAGGCTCATACGATGGTCTGCATCATGCCCACTAGCTACCCTCCAGGGCTAACAATGGAAGGTTGTTGGGGTCACAGAGCAGCCTGATATTGGCTCCTCCTCTGAGGTTGAGGAAAGAGCAGTGCCAGTACCCTCTAAAGGGACTGAATCTCTCTGTAGAGCACAGCCTAGTGTGACCCATATAGTTCCACCCTCCAACTGGGAGGGGGACTGAAGACCTCTAGTTCTGATGAGCCCACCCATCACTGATGAATGTCAGATTCTAATTAAGTCACTTCCAGCAGGACTTCTAGAGCCAGGAGGTGGTTGTTGAGGATTTGGGGAGCAGTGTATTAAGTTGCGGGAGTGGCCCTGGGGGGTTCATGTTAGGTCTACCAGAGGGGTGAGGGTTAGAGATCTGCTGGGATTAGGGAGCCAGTGGCTTAGAGAAGCCCCTATTCACATGAACCCCCACCTCCTACTCCATCCCCCACCCACCACAAAGGAATGCCAGTTTAGAGGCTGGATTAGAATCAACCCCACCCTAGAGGAAGTTGCTGTGTTGTACCAAAAAGCGACTTGACAGTCTAGTTGAATTGTTCCCCATGGAAAAATTTATTGCATTTCTCTTTTCCTAACGTAGCATCCTGAAACATGGAGAAATCACTGGCTCACCTTAAAAGTCCCATCAGAGCAGCAAAAGGAGCCAGCCAGCAGGGTGAACCACGCCCCTTCCCCAGGCCTGCCTCACACAGGAGACAAAAATCAGCCCTCTTACTTCACCAAAGGAGGCGGGAGGAGAAAGGTGTCTGTCTGTCTGTCTGATGCTGAGTGAAAATCCATGTCAAACTCTAGCTGAATGTCATTTCCAGTGGGATACCTGTCTGCCTGTTTGGTTTGGTGGTTCTCAGATCCAGAGATCCGTGAAAAAACACAGAAAGAGTGTTCAGGCTTGGCTCCCTGGCTCCCAGCCTCCTGCGCTCACACTGGGCACTGATGAGTGCAGGTTCACAACACAAACATGCTCCCCCCGCATCCACCCACACCCCAACTCTAACAACCCACACAGATGTCCTGATCATCACCTATAAAACTGGCATATGAAGCTCAGCTCGGCTCAGCACTGCACTGCTCTGCTTCACTTGGCTCTGCTCAGCTGGGCTCCATAAACCCCACATGTGTCTGTCTATCCATTTGCCCCCTGATTGGACTGACTCCTAGATCATCATCCATGAACCCACTTGGGACCCGTTTCTCTCTGTTTGCTCTCTCTCTCTCTCTCTCTCTCTCTCTGTCTCTCTCTCTCTCTCTCTCTCTGCTTTTTGTCGTGCAAGGGGCCTTGCTTTTAGCTGTCTCTCAGCTGTCCTTGTGGCCCTATGCCTTTTTTCACTCTCTCCTCCCTGCTTTTTCTCAGACCCTAACACCACACACACCCTTATGCCTTGATCTTCACCCGAGAGCCTAACACTCAGGGCTCAGCTGAGCTCTGCTGATGCATCCCAGATCTACCTACTCCTCTTCCTGCCTGTCTGCTGGGATTCCCACATCTGTCCTACACAAACACCTTTGGATCCTCTCTCCGATCCCTCCCTGTTTTCATCCCCAGTCCTGTCCCTTTTACCACCCATCTGCACACTCTCTGTACCTTTCTCTGAGCCCTTAGACTCTTTCTGCCTCACTCTCTCTGTCTGTCTCTCTGTCTCTGTCACTGTCTCTGTCTCTGTCTGTTTCTCTGTCTTTCTCTGTCTCTGCTTTCCTCTGGCCTTTGCCTAGTTTGGGTTCTCTCTGGTTTTGTTTGCAGGGGGAGGAGCTGCAGTCTTTTTTCACTCTCTCGGGTTTTCTCCCTCCCTGGGCTGCTTTCAGTCTCTCTCTGCTTTCTTACCTTCCCCTGGGCTTTTTGGGGCTGGGTCTCAGTTGTTTGTGCAGCCTCACCCATGTCTCTGTTAACTGGGGCCTTCCCCACTCTTTTACAGACCGTAACATCACACAGACACACACACACACACACACACACACACACACACACACACACACATACACACACACACACCTATGCCCTGATCATCAACCATGAGCCTAACACACACAGCAGCTCAGCTCAGCTCAGCTCAGTGGATTCTAATCTAAGCCTCTGCCTGGGTCTTGCTGCTGGGATTGCCCTGTCTGTCTTCAGTCCCTTTGCCTCTTTTGGATCCCTCCCTCCATCCCTCATTCCCCAGTTTATCCCCCCCCCCTCCTTTCCCATTTACCACTGGCTGGGCTGTCCCCTCTGTGCTATTCTCCGGGGGGCCCTTTAACTCTTTGGACATCTCTGTCTCTGGCTGTTTCTCCATCTCTGTCTCTGTCTCTTTCTTTGCTTTTCTCAGGACCTCTGCTCTTTGAAGTTTTACATTCTTGCCTTTTGGCTCTGGGCTCTGTGCTCTGGTTTCTGTGCTGTGGTCTCTGGGCTCTTGGAGGCTGGGCACAGAGTGGAGGGGACTGAGTGAGTGAGTGGGCTGCCTGGGAGTGGCAGACAGGATGCAGGGAGTGGAGTAGGGTGGCAACAGGGTGTTGGTTCCGGAGGCTTAGCTAGAGGAGTGCTGGATTAGGGCAGGCCAGTGGACCCCAGGCAGCTAGGGTTAGGATGGCCTGGGTTAGAATTAGCGCAGGGTTGCAGTTTAGCCAGCCTCTGGGCTTAACAGGCAGGGATTTAGGGAGGCAATGGGCTGCCACGCCCCAGCAGCCATGCCACACCCCAGGCTGGATTGGATCTGCTGTGGGTTCATGCACCATGAATTCCACAGCCTAGGTGAAATTTTCCAAGTGGGAAAAGTCTGTCTGCTGACTGAACATCGAATTCTCCGAGGCTTTCCTGCTTCCTCTCAGCATCCAAGGCCTCCGAGGTTCTCCTGTGTCCCTGAGTCCCTGGCTTTCTGATTTCCAAGATTGGGCAGAGTTCAGTCAAGGTTCCCTGCCTGGCTTTAAACCCTGCTTTGTCTGGGATTTCTGGGTTCCCTGAGCTCCCTGGGTGCCCTGCCTCCTCTATCCTCTCTGCCTCTTCTGGCTGCCCTGGCTGGCTTCCCCAGTCTCCCTCCTGGCTTCCCTGGCACCCCTTCTTCCCAGGCTCCCTGGGCTCCCTGGCTCCTCCTTGCCTTCCTTCCTGGTCCCTGGGTGCTGCTCTGCCTCCCCAGGCTTCTCCGCCTCCTCTGTCTGCCCTGGATTGCCTCCCTGATGTCCTTGCTTCCCGGGCCCCCTTCCTTCCCTGGCTGCTTGCCTTCCTCTGTGCTCCTGGCCTGGCTGCCAGCCTCCTTGCCTTCACCCAGGGGCATCAGCACAGGCCACCCTCCCTCCTAGTCCTCACTGTCCACGTGGCCATCCCATTTTGGTGATTCTCCCATCCAGAGTTCTTTGGAGTACACCCTGCTGATCCCCACTCGCTGATGGCTCTCTGCCCTCTCAGCCCTAATCCTTAATCAGCCCCATATTCTTTTCCACTTTTTTAAAATGAAAATCCTGGGGGCTGGGTGTTTAACTCAGCGGCATAAACACCTGCCTTGCAAACAGGGGGTCCTGAATTCGATCCCCGGTACAGATAAAAATGAAAAAGACCAAGAAAAAAAAATGAAATGAAAACCCTGCCTCTGAAATCCTGAGTCCACCCCATAATGCCATCCTCCTCCTCAGCCAATGAGCGAGCCAGGAAGTGAGTGAAGGGAAAGGGGACTTCCGGGACACCAGGGTGGTGCCACAGGAGGAGATGAAAGGATTAGGGGCCAGGTTGATGGGATCTGCAGCCAGCATGGAGGGATTAGCTGGGCTGCACGGGCGTGGCCAGATCTTGGGCTCCTGGGCTCCAGGGTTTCCCATGCATTCTCCCTGACTGACCTCAAGCCTTAACAAGCTCAGGCACCAGACACCATGCAGCAGGAGTTAACCAGCCCACACAGCCAGACCTCTGGCTGGCCCTCCAGAGCTCCCCTTCCCTGCTTTCTCTCTCCATTCCCCTCCAGGTTCCCAGGACCCCTCTTGCTGGCCCAGCTCCTGGCTCCCAGCTCTCCCAGGAGCTCTGCCTGCTTGCCTGGCTACCTGCCTGACTTCAGGGACCCCATGACAATGCGGACCAAGAAGAGATGGGGACAACAGCCATCTGCCATGCATCGAGTGAGGTGAGGGTCACTGGACTGAGCCGCCCGCCTGCCCCCCGTGGAGGGGTGTATAGTGGTGCGGTGGAGTTCTGGGCCTCTCCCCTGCCCTCCCCAGCTCAGCCTTCACTGGCTCCATGTTTTCCTCCAGGTTCCTGGGACTTGGCACTCCCAGCTCCTGGATCCTGGCTCACCATGCATCTCCTCCCTCCTGCCAGCCTGCCTGCCCTCCAGGACCCCGTGATGATGCGGGCCACGATGAGTTGAGGCGGACAACAGCTGTCCACCAGACAGCCAGCAAGGTGAGGGTCCTTGTGCCTGGGGGCCCCCATGATGTTTTGTGGTGTGTGGTGCTGGGGTCACTTACTGGGCCACCCGCTGGCCCACCCTTTGCTCAACCCTTGCTCATTGCCTTCCTCCAGGTTCCTGGAACCCAGCTCTCTGGGCTCAGGGCTCTGGCCCCCCAGCTGCAGCCTCCCAGCTCCAAGCTGCCGGCTCTGCTGGAAGCTCCTACCTGCCTGCCTGCCTGACTGCCTGCTGGCCTTCCTGCCTTCCAGGACCCCACGACGATGAGCAAGAGGAGATGAGGGGGACCACAGCCATCCAGCACACACCACAGCACAGCCAGGTGAGGGTTCTTGAGCAGCCTCCCCCACCCCCCCCACCCCCGTGCATTGTGGAGGGGTCACGTTCTGGGCTGCCCTCTTGCCAGGCTATTGTAGCCTCTGCCACGTAGGCAGGGCCCTTCCTTCCAGCCCTGGGATCCTTCATGCCTCTCCTCTGTGCCTCTTAGGGCCACACACCCACCAGGCTCCAGGGCAGCCATCTGACTTTCACCCATAAAGATGGAAGGAAGGGAAGGAACAAAGAAAGGCTCCCTGCAAACCAAGGGACGAATAAGTGAATGAATGAGTGAATGAACGAATGAAGGAATGTATGAACAGAAGAACCAATAAAGGGAGAATCATCACTGTCTCCATTCATCAGTCCCTCCAGCCCGCCCATTTTTGGACCTCTGCCCTCCTCCTCTCTCCCTCTCTAGGCTTGCTCTCTCTCTCCCTCTGTCTCCCTCTCTCTGTGCTTTCCCCTCCCTCCTCTCCCCTCTCTCCTCACTCTGCCTGCTCTCTGCTGTTTGGGGGTTTGTTTGCTTGGACCACGGTGGTGGCTGCTGCTTCTGCCTTTCCAGCGCTCCACTCCATTTCACCCCCGGCTCTCACCTCCTTTCATTCTTCTCCCTCCTCCTCCTCCTTCTCTCCTCAATACTGATGCTGGACCCACAGATGGACAGAAACTCGGGGCCCCCACCCCAATCCTAGGCACCAACACCAGGGAAGGGGGGGAAGGGCGGGGGCATTAGGCTATTGGGATTGATGGTGAATTAGGGAGAGATGTGTGGAGTGGAGTTTGGGCCCTCGGAACTGAGCCTGGATTAGCCCGAGATGGAAGGAAGGAGCGGTGGGTGCTGCTGGTGGAGGTGGGAGCTGGATGTGACTAAGTCCAGGGTCACTTTTTAATTTGCATGTGAGTTCAAACCTCCCATCCCGTGCCCTCCCATTTCAGCTGGTCTGTCTCCCTGCCTGTTTCCCACATGTGGCAGAGAAAGGGGCTCAGGAGTGGTCTGGGGGCCAGCGCTGATGCATTTAGCCCACAAGGGAGGGAGTGTAGCCAGACAGACAGACAACCTGCACCTGTCTCTGTCTCTATTCAAAAACTGACGTCAGCCATGAACCTTCTGGGCCTCTGGCTCAGCGGTCCCTGTGCCCACACTTCAAATGGGAGGTCACCAGTTTAATACACTGGAATCCTGCCAGCCACGCCGCCTCAGAAATGCTCGGTGCCATGGCCTTTCGAACCACACTTCCCCCATCATTTATAAAGGATTTATGTTTTTGTGTCTTTTATGTGTTTTATTTTTAATTTTTTTCGCTTCTTGAGCCAGGGTCTCTAGGGATGCAATTTGGCCTGGCCTTGAGCTCCCTTTGGAGCCTAGGCTGGTCTCCAACTCCCAACATGCCCCTTATTTGACCAGAAGCAAGGGAGGAAGGAAGGGAGGAAAGAAGGAAGGAAGAAAGGAAGGAAGGAAGGAAGGAACGAAGGAAGGAAGGAAGGAAGGAAGAAGGAAGGACCACTAAAAGACCATGGTCCATCTGTCCCTCTGTCCCTCCCTCCTTTCATTCCTCTGCTCAGTCCCGGTTGGTTCTGGGGCCAGCCAAGGGTCGTGGGTTTCAGTGTCTGACTCCAACACATGTGGAAGAGGGGGTGTCCTGGTGTGCAGGTGGGAGGTTTCCCAGCTCAGCTAATAAGATATTCCAAAGTCTGTCAATGTAAGCAGCTTGGAATCTGCTGTGTGTGTGTGTCTGTGTGTGTGTGTGTCTGTGTGTGTGTGTGTGTCTGCCTGCCTGTCTGTCTGTCTGTCTTTCTGCCTGTCTACCAGTGATGAACCCAAATGCCATGATTTTGAGTTAGCCATGGGAGGGAGGACAAGCAAGGCGGGGTTAGGCTAGGGTTCGAGTTAGGCTTTGTGTTACTGCTTGGGAAAAGGGTTAGGGTTAGCATTTCAGGCTTCAGGGTGACCTGTCAGTGCTCCGAGGGAGTAGCTGGGTTCCTGAGACGTCAGATTGGTCGCATTTCACCCCAAAAACACACACACACACATGCCCGGTTTCCTACACTCAGGTGAAAACACACACATTCCCCGCTCCTGAACTTCACCCTAATATGCTCACACATGCCAGAATCCCTGGGCTCACCCTCAAAACACACACAAGCCGTCTACCCAAAGCTCATGCTAAATATACACACATGCCCCGTTCCATGGGCTCATTCGGAAAACACAAGCTGGCTCCTTCTCCTACTTCACACTAAAACACACACAAGCCACGTTTCCCACCCTCACCCTAAAATCATTCCCCCAACTCACAGTAACACACACACAATGTCCCATTCACCAGACTCATCCTAATAGATACATACACACGCACAATCCTAGTTCCTCACGCTAACAGACACATGCCACCCCAAATATTGATGTAAGACTCGCTCTCTCTCCCTCTCTCTCTCTCTCTCGCTCTCTCTCTATCTCTCTCTCTGTCTCTCTTTGTCTCTCTCTCTCTCTCTCTCTCTCTCACTTTTGTGACAGGATATCTGTCTGTATTTTGCTGGCGGCTCTGGGTGAAAAACCCTTGTGAAATATGGACGATCCACACTTGGGGAGAAAGGTAGGGCCGAAGTCCCATGAGAAAAGCAGAATGAGCCTTAACCACCCGCAGGAGAGTAAAATCAACTCACTCACTCCACCCAGGAAGCAGAAGACACACAGGTCAGGTGTGTGTCTGTCTGTCTGTCTGTCTGTCTGTCTGTCTGTCTGACTGGGTGTCAGACTCTCGCTAAATCCTTTGCAGGAGGACATCTTTCCTTCTGGTGGTTCACTGTTCAAAGTCTTTGTGATATTTTTTGCTGGCTCCAGGCTGACCAGCGACTCTCTGAGACTTTGGAAACCAGTGATCCAGGCCAGTGGTGGTCACTCAGTGCAGGCCAGCTAAGCTCAGCTCATCTCACTGGACTGCAAATGCATCCATCCTGCTGCTCGGATTCCTCTGTGTGTCTGTCATTCACGAACTCACTTCAGATCTTTTGCATCTCTTTGCTCTCTGACCCATGTTGTAGCTTGGCATAACTGACAGCATCAGCAACAAGCCCAGAATTTCATTTTACTAGTGCCCTGAATTTGACCCAAGAAAATGGAAGGTGACTCAGAATACAAGTCCCATCGGAAATCTAGAATGAGCTGTGGTACCTACAGATTGACAAAAACATGGAAACCTTCTCACCCAAAGAAGCAGGATTCAGGTGTGGGTCAACTGAAAATGACTGAAAGATTCGAGCCAAATTGTTTGGAACAGTATCAGGATGTCTTTTGGGATTCTCTCCTTCAGAGACTCTGTCACTTTCCAGTTCACTCAGATGCTGCCGCCTGTTCCATGTTTTGGCCACCAGAGGGCAAAGCTTGCGAACCCAGCCACAGTGGAAGATTCTTAAGTCCAGAGACAGACATAGAAGCAGAGAAAGACATCACAGATACTGCACGCGACACATTCTTTTGGAATGGACCTGTCCCGTGTTGGAGGGGGAAACAGGAGGGAGGACGGCACCTCATTTGGGAGCGTTAGGCTTAGGCTTAGGCTCAGTGTCAGGGTTTTAGGCAGTGGAAGCTAAGGAAGGTGCTCTGACACTGGCTTTCCTGAGGACTGGCATCTTTCTGGGGTTGCCTGTGGCCTTGCATCTGAGGCCAGTGTTTCTTCCCCATCTCTGTTTTCATCCATAAGAGACTGGAGGTTGTCAGAGAACTTGGACCCTGGCGGTACCTCTGGGATAATGTACCTGTCCTCTTTAGCCAACAGGGGCGCTGTCTCATTTGGGCAGAAGAGGAGGATGTGCATGTCCACTCTAGCCACCAGATGGCGCTGTCTCATCTGAGGAGAGCGTGGCAGGCAGGGAAGCTGATGACACAGTGATGGGGGCTATTTCTCTCTCTCTCTCTTTTGCAGATGACCACCTGGGCTGGCTGTTGGTGTAGACCATGAGCATCTATAGGCTCAGATCCCAGAGCATATACTTTGTGCAGGGAAGGTTTCCCACGTGGCACTGCGGCTTAGGTCGGAGACTGGAGGCCACTGGGTTCCATACCAATCTCTGATGGCTGCTGCTGGACACCAGTACCCTCTGAGGTGGTGCCAGGACCCTCGGATGGCTATAGATATGTATCCTGCCCGTTTCTACTGTGCACGTGTGTGTGAGTGTGTGGGGGATGCCTTGCCCCAGCAGGGCCCTCCTACATGTTCGGGCCAAGGGGTCAGGAGATTCGTAAGGAAGGCTATGACCAAGGAAGGAGGCCATCGGGGAGCACCAGGGGGCACCCGCACAGCTGACACACAAATGGACGTGAGGGTCACATGGACTGGTTCACCTGTCTGTGGCAAGTGAAGACAGAAGAACTGTACCGACACACAGATGGGCACATTTTCCTGGGGCCCATGTCTTCGAGGAACCTGCAGCCTTGTCACCCTCTGTCTATCTGTCTGATCAGAAGGGAGTTACCTTGTTACCTGCCACCAAGGGTGCCATAGCAAGCGGTGGCTGTGTCTGATGACAGACAGGAGAGAGGTGGTGCCACGTGTTGTTGGCTGTCTCTGTCTTTGGGCTGCATGTAGGGGAACTCAGGGTTGTGTGTGTATAGGGCTGGGTCAGCATCCAGTGTGTGCCAGGACTGGCCTGGGTCCTTCTGAGAGCAGGCACAGCCCCTGGAATGAATTCCTGCTGTTGGTCTTGCCTGCCTCCATGGGGCCTCCAATGTTGGGGTCTTTTCCCCCTACCCTTACCTTCATCCTGGGCTCTGCATAGATCCTTCAGGCTCATACGATGGTCTGCATCATGCCCACTAGCTACCCTCCAGGGCTAACAATGGAAGGTTGTTGGGGTCACAGAGCAGCCTGATATTGGCTCCTCCTCTGAGGTTGAGGAAAGAGCAGTGCCAGTACCCTCTAAAGGGACTGAATCTCTCTGTAGAGCACAGCCTAGTGTGACCCATATAGTTCCACCCTCCAACTGGGAGGGGGACTGAAGACCTCTAGTTCTGATGAGCCCACCCATCACTGATGAATGTCAGATTCTAATTAAGTCACTTCCAGCAGGACTTCTAGAGCCAGGAGGTGGTTGTTGAGGATTTGGGGAGCAGTGTATTAAGTTGCGGGAGTGGCCCTGGGGGGTTCATGTTAGGTCTACCAGAGGGGTGAGGGTTAGAGATCTGCTGGGATTAGGGAGCCAGTGGCTTAGAGAAGCCCCTATTCACATGAACCCCCACCTCCTACTCCATCCCCCACCCACCACAAAGGAATGCCAGCTTAGAGGCTGGATTAGAAACACCCCCACCTAGAGAGGAAGTTGCTGTGTTGTACCAAAAAGCAACTTGACAGTCTAGTTGAATTGTTCCCCATGGAAAAATTTATTGCATTTCTCTTTTCCTAACGTAGCATCCTGAAACATGGAGAAATCACTGGCTCACCTTAAAAGTCCCATCAGAGCAGCAAAAGGAGCCAGCCAGCAGGGTGAACCACGCCCCTTCCCCAGGCCTGCCTCACACAGGAGACAAAAATCAGCCCTCTTACTTCACCAAAGGAGGCGGGAGGAGAAAGGTGTCTGTCTGTCTGTCTGATGCTGAGTGAAAATCCATGTCAAACTCTAGCTGAATGTCATTTCCAGTGGGATACCTGTCTGCCTGTTTGGTTTGGTGGTTCTCAGATCCAGAGATCCGTGAAAAAACACAGAAAGAGTGTTCAGGCTTGGCTCCCTGGCTCCCAGCCTCCTGCGCTCACACTGGGCACTGATGAGTGCAGGTTCACAACACAAACATGCTCCCCCCGCATCCACCCACACCCCAACTCTAACAACCCACACAGATGTCCTGATCATCACCTATAAAACTGGCATATGAAGCTCAGCTCGGCTCAGCACTGCACTGCTCTGCTTCACTTGGCTCTGCTCAGCTGGGCTCCATAAACCCCACATGTGTCTGTCTATCCATTTGCCCCCTGATTGGACTGACTCCTAGATCATCATCCATGAACCCACTTGGGACCCGTTTCTCTCTGTTTGCTCTCTCTCTCTCTCTCTCTGTCTCTCTCTCTCTCTCTCTGCTTTTTGTCGTGCAAGGGGCCTTGCTTTTAGCTGTCTCTCAGCTGTCCTTGTGGCCCTATGCCTTTTTTCACTCTCTCCTCCCTGCTTTTTCTCAGACCCTAACACCACACACACCCTTATGCCTTGATCTTCACCCGAGAGCCTAACACTCAGGGCTCAGCTGAGCTCTGCTGATGGATCCCAGATCTACCTACTCCTCTTCCTGCCTGTCTGCTGGGATTCCCACATCTGTCCTACACAAACACCTTTGGATCCTCTCTCCGATCCCTCCCTGTTTTCATCCCCAGTCCTGTCCCTTTTACCACCCATCTGCACACTCTCTGTACCTTTCTCTGAGCCCTTAGACTCTTTCTGCCTCACTCTCTCTGTCTGTCTCTCTGTCTCTGTCACTGTCTCTGTCTCTGTCTGTTTCTCTGTCTTTCTCTGTCTCTGCTTTCCTCTGGCCTTTGCCTAGTTTGGGTTCTCTCTGGTTTTGTTTGCAGGGGGAGGAGCTGCAGTCTTTTTTCACTCTCTCGGGTTTTCTCCCTCCCTGGGCTGCTTTCAGTCTCTCTCTGCTTTCTTACCTTCCCCTGGGCTTTTTGGGGCTGGGTCTCAGTTGTTTGTGCAGCCTCACCCATGTCTCTGTTAACTGGGGCCTTCCCCACTCTTTTACAGACCGTAACATCACACAGACACACACACACACACACACACACACACACACACACACACACACACACATACACACACACACACCTATGCCCTGATCATCAACCATGAGCCTAACACACACAGCAGCTCAGCTCAGCTCAGCTCAGTGGATTCTAATCTAAGCCTCTGCCTGGGTCTTGCTGCTGGGATTGCCCTGTCTGTCTTCAGTCCCTTTGCCTCTTTTGGATCCCTCCCTCCATCCCTCATTCCCCAGTTTATCCCCCCCCCCCTCCTTTCCCATTTACCACTGGCTGGGCTGTCCCCTCTGTGCTATTCTCCGGGGGGCCCTTTAACTCTTTGGACATCTCTGTCTCTGGCTGTTTCTCCATCTCTGTCTCTGTCTCTTTCTTTGCTTTTCTCAGGACCTCTGCTCTTTGAAGTTTTACATTCTTGCCTTTTGGCTCTGGGCTCTGTGCTCTGGTTTCTGTGCTGTGGTCTCTGGGCTCTTGGAGGCTGGGCACAGAGTGGAGGGGACTGAGTGAGTGAGTGGGCTGCCTGGGAGTGGCAGACAGGATGCAGGGAGTGGAGTAGGGTGGCAACAGGGTGTTGGTTCCGGAGGCTTAGCTAGAGGAGTGCTGGATTAGGGCAGGCCAGTGGACCCCAGGCAGCTAGGGTTAGGATGGCCTGGGTTAGAATTAGCGCAGGGTTGCAGTTTAGCCAGCCTCTGGGCTTAACAGGCAGGGATTTAGGGAGGCAATGGGCTGCCACGCCCCAGCAGCCATGCCACACCCCAGGCTGGATTGGATCTGCTGTGGGTTCATGCACCATGAATTCCACAGCCTAGGTGAAATTTTCCAAGTGGGAAAAGTCTGTCTGCTGACTGAACATCGAATTCTCCGAGGCTTTCCTGCTTCCTCTCAGCATCCAAGGCCTCCGAGGTTCTCCTGTGTCCCTGAGTCCCTGGCTTTCTGATTTCCAAGATTGGGCAGAGTTCAGTCAAGGTTCCCTGCCTGGCTTTAAACCCTGCTTTGTCTGGGATTTCTGGGTTCCCTGAGCTCCCTGGGTGCCCTGCCTCCTCTATCCTCTCTGCCTCTTCTGGCTGCCCTGGCTGGCTTCCCCAGTCTCCCTCCTGGCTTCCCTGGCACCCCTTCTTCCCAGGCTCCCTGGGCTCCCTGGCTCCTCCTTGCCTTCCTTCCTGGTCCCTGGGTGCTGCTCTGCCTCCCCAGGCTTCTCCGCCTCCTCTGTCTGCCCTGGATTGCCTCCCTGATGTCCTTGCTTCCCGGGCCCCCTTCCTTCCCTGGCTGCTTGCCTTCCTCTGTGCTCCTGGCCTGGCTGCCAGCCTCCTTGCCTTCACCCAGGGGCATCAGCACAGGCCACCCTCCCTCCTAGTCCTCACTGTCCACGTGGCCATCCCATTTTGGTGATTCTCCCATCCAGAGTTCTTTGGAGTACACCCTGCTGATCCCCACTCGCTGATGGCTCTCTGCCCTCTCAGCCCTAATCCCTAATCAGCCCCATATTCTTTTCCACTTTTTTAAAATGAAAATCCTGGGGGCTGGGTGTTTAACTCAGCGGCATAAACACCTGCCTTGCAAGCAGGGGGTCCTGAATTCGATCCCCGGTACAGATAAAAATGAAAAAGACCAAGAAAAAAAAATGAAATGAAAACCCTGCCTCTGAAATCCTGAGTCCACCCCATAATGCCATCCTCCTCCTCAGCCAATGAGCGAGCCAGGAAGTGAGTGAAGGGAAAGGGGACTTCCGGGACACCAGGGTGGTGCCACAGGAGGAGATGAAAGGATTAGGGGCCAGGTTGATGGGATCTGCAGCCAGCATGGAGGGATTAGCTGGGCTGCACGGGCGTGGCCAGATCTTGGGCTCCTGGGCTCCAGGGTTTCCCATGCATTCTCCCTGACTGACCTCAAGCCTTAACAAGCTCAGGCACCAGACACCATGCAGCAGGAGTTAACCAGCCCACACAGCCAGACCTCTGGCTGGCCCTCCAGAGCTCCCCTTCCCTGCTTTCTCTCTCCATTCCCCTCCAGGTTCCCAGGACCCCTCTTGCTGGCCCAGCTCCTGGCTCCCAGCTCTCCCAGGAGCTCTGCCTGCTTGCCTGGCTACCTGCCTGACTTCAGGGACCCCATGACAATGCGGACCAAGAAGAGATGGGGACAACAGCCATCTGCCATGCATCGAGTGAGGTGAGGGTCACTGGACTGAGCCGCCCGCCTGCCCCCCGTGGAGGGGTGTATAGTGGTGCGGTGGAGTTCTGGGCCTCTCCCCTGCCCTCCCCAGCTCAGCCTTCACTGGCTCCATGTTTTCCTCCAGGTTCCTGGGACTTGGCACTCCCAGCTCCTGGATCCTGGCTCACCATGCATCTCCTCCCTCCTGCCAGCCTGCCTGCCCTCCAGGACCCCGTGATGATGCGGGCCACGATGAGTTGAGGCGGACAACAGCTGTCCACCAGACAGCCAGCAAGGTGAGGGTCCTTGTGCCTGGGGGCCCCCATGATGTTTTGTGGTGTGTGGTGCTGGGGTCACTTACTGGGCCACCCGCTGGCCCACCCTTTGCTCAACCCTTGCTCATTGCCTTCCTCCAGGTTCCTGGAACCCAGCTCTCTGGGCTCAGGGCTCTGGCCCCCCCAGCTGCAGCCTCCCAGCTCCAAGCTGCCGGCTCTGCTGGAAGCTCCTACCTGCCTGCCTGCCTGACTGCCTGCTGGCCTTCCTGCCTTCCAGGACCCCACGACGATGAGCAAGAGGAGATGAGGGGGACCACAGCCATCCAGCACACACCACAGCACAGCCAGGTGAGGGTTCTTGAGCAGCCTCCCCCACCCCCCCCACCCCCGTGCATTGTGGAGGGGTCACGTTCTGGGCTGCCCTCTTGCCAGGCTATTGTAGCCTCTGCCACGTAGGCAGGGCCCTTCCTTCCAGCCCTGGGATCCTTCATGCCTCTCCTCTGTGCCTCTTAGGGCCACACACCCACCAGGCTCCAGGGCAGCCATCTGACTTTCACCCATAAAGATGGAAGGAAGGGAAGGAACAAAGAAAGGCTCCCTGCAAACCAAGGGACGAATAAGTGAATGAATGAGTGAATGAACGAATGAAGGAATGTATGAACAGAAGAACCAATAAAGGGAGAATCATCACTGTCTCCATTCATCAGTCCCTCCAGCCCGCCCATTTTTGGACCTCTGCCCTCCTCCTCTCTCCCTCTCTAGGCTTGCTCTCTCTCTCCCTCTGTCTCCCTCTCTCTGTGCTTTCCCCTCCCTCCTCTCCCCTCTCTCCTCACTCTGCCTGCTCTCTGCTGTTTGGGGGTTTGTTTGCTTGGACCACGGTGGTGGCTGCTGCTTCTGCCTTTCCAGCGCTCCACTCCATTTCACCCCCGGCTCTCACCTCCTTTCATTCTTCTCCCTCCTCCTCCTCCTTCTCTCCTCAATACTGATGCTGGACCCACAGATGGACAGAAACTCGGGGCCCCCACCCCAATCCTAGGCACCAACACCAGGGAAGGGGGGGAAGGGCGGGGGCATTAGGCTATTGGGATTGATGGTGAATTAGGGAGAGATGTGTGGAGTGGAGTTTGGGCCCTCGGAACTGAGCCTGGATTAGCCCGAGATGGAAGGAAGGAGCGGTGGGTGCTGCTGGTGGAGGTGGGAGCTGGATGTGACTAAGTCCAGGGTCACTTTTTAATTTGCATGTGAGTTCAAACCTCCCATCCCGTGCCCTCCCATTTCAGCTGGTCTGTCTCCCTGCCTGTTTCCCACATGTGGCAGAGAAAGGGGCTCAGGAGTGGTCTGGGGGCCAGCGCTGATGCATTTAGCCCACAAGGGAGGGAGTGTAGCCAGACAGACAGACAACCTGCACCTGTCTCTGTCTCTATTCAAAAACTGACGTCAGCCATGAACCTTCTGGGCCTCTGGCTCAGCGGTCCCTGTGCCCACACTTCAAATGGGAGGTCACCAGTTTAATACACTGGAATCCTGCCAGCCACGCCGCCTCAGAAATGCTCGGTGCCATGGCCTTTCGAACCACACTTCCCCCATCATTTATAAAGGATTTATGTTTTTGTGTCTTTTATGTGTTTTATTTTTAATTTTTTTCGCTTCTTGAGCCAGGGTCTCTAGGGATGCAATTTGGCCTGGCCTTGAGCTCCCTTTGGAGCCTAGGCTGGTCTCCAACTCCCAACATGCCCCTTATTTGACCAGAAGCAAGGGAGGAAGGAAGGGAGGAAAGAAGGAAGGAAGAAAGGAAGGAAGGAAGGAAGGAACGAAGGAAGGAAGGAAGGAAGGAAGAAGGAAGGACCACTAAAAGACCATGGTCCATCTGTCCCTCTGTCCCTCCCTCCTTTCATTCCTCTGCTCAGTCCCGGTTGGTTCTGGGGCCAGCCAAGGGTCGTGGGTTTCAGTGTCTGACTCCAACACATGTGGAAGAGGGGGTGTCCTGGTGTGCAGGTGGGAGGTTTCCCAGCTCAGCTAATAAGATATTCCAAAGTCTGTCAATGTAAGCAGCTTGGAATCTGCTGTGTGTGTGTGTCTGTGTGTGTGTGTGTCTGTGTGTGTGTGTGTGTCTGCCTGCCTGTCTGTCTGTCTGTCTTTCTGCCTGTCTACCAGTGATGAACCCAAATGCCATGATTTTGAGTTAGCCATGGGAGGGAGGACAAGCAAGGCGGGGTTAGGCTAGGGTTCGAGTTAGGCTTTGTGTTACTGCTTGGGAAAAGGGTTAGGGTTAGCATTTCAGGCTTCAGGGTGACCTGTCAGTGCTCCGAGGGAGTAGCTGGGTTCCTGAGACGTCAGATTGGTCGCATTTCACCCCAAAAACACACACACACACATGCCCGGTTTCCTACACTCAGCTTGAAAACACACACATTCCCCGCTCCTGAACTTCACCCTAATATGCTCACACATGCCAGAATCCCTGGGCTCACCCTCAAAACACACACAAGCCGTCTACCCAAAGCTCATGCTAAATATACACACATGCCCCGTTCCATGGGCTCATTCGGAAAACACAAGCTGGCTCCTTCTCCTACTTCACACTAAAACACACACAAGCCACGTTTCCCACCCTCACCCTAAAATCATTCCCCCAACTCACAGTAACACACACACAATGTCCCATTCACCAGACTCATCCTAATAGATACATACACACGCACAATCCTAGTTCCTCACGCTAACAGACACATGCCACCCCAAATATTGATGTAAGACTCGCTCTCTCTCCCTCTCTCTCTCTCTCTCGCTCTCTCTCTATCTCTCTCTCTGTCTCTCTTTGTCTCTCTCTCTCTCTCTCTCTCTCTCTCACTTTTGTGACAGGATATCTGTCTGTATTTTGCTGGCGGCTCTGGGTGAAAAACCCTTGTGAAATATGGACGATCCACACTTGGGGAGAAAGGTAGGGCCGAAGTCCCATGAGAAAAGCAGAATGAGCCTTAACCACCCGCAGGAGAGTAAAATCAACTCACTCACTCCACCCAGGAAGCAAAAGACACACAGGTCAGGTGTGTGTCTGTCTGTCTGTCTGTCTGTCTGTCTGTCTGTCTGACTGGGTGTCAGACTCTCGCTAAATCCTTTGCAGGAGGACATCTTTCCTTCTGGTGGTTCACTGTTCAAAGTCTTTGTGATATTTTTTGCTGGCTCCAGGCTGACCAGCGACTCTCTGAGACTTTGGAAACCAGTGATCCAGGCCAGTGGTGGTCACTCAGTGCAGGCCAGCTAAGCTCAGCTCATCTCACTGGACTGCAAATGCATCCATCCTGCTGCTCGGATTCCTCTGTGTGTCTGTCATTCACGAACTCACTTCAGATCTTTTGCATCTCTTTGCTCTCTGACCCATGTTGTAGCTTGGCATAACTGACAGCATCAGCAACAAGCCCAGAATTTCATTTTACTAGTGCCCTGAATTTGACCCAAGAAAATGGAAGGTGACTCAGAATACAAGTCCCATCGGAAATCTAGAATGAGCTGTGGTACCTACAGATTGACAAAAACATGGAAACCTTCTCACCCAAAGAAGCAGGATTCAGGTGTGGGTCAACTGAAAATGACTGAAAGATTCGAGCCAAATTGTTTGGAACAGTATCAGGATGTCTTTTGGGATTCTCTCCTTCAGAGACTCTGTCACTTTCCAGTTCACTCAGATGCTGCCGCCTGTTCCATGTTTTGGCCACCAGAGGGCAAAGCTTGCGAACCCAGCCACAGTGGAAGATTCTTAAGTCCAGAGACAGACATAGAAGCAGAGAAAGACATCACAGATACTGCACGCGACACATTCTTTTGGAATGGACCTGTCCCGTGTTGGAGGGGGAAACAGGAGGGAGGACGGCACCTCATTTGGGAGCGTTAGGCTTAGGCTTAGGCTCAGTGTCAGGGTTTTAGGCAGTGGAAGCTAAGGAAGGTGCTCTGACACTGGCTTTCCTGAGGACTGGCATCTTTCTGGGGTTGCCTGTGGCCTTGCATCTGAGGCCAGTGTTTCTTCCCCATCTCTGTTTTCATCCATAAGAGACTGGAGGTTGTCAGAGAACTTGGACCCTGGCGGTACCTCTGGGATAATGTACCTGTCCTCTTTAGCAACAGGGGCGCTGTCTCATTTGGGCAGAAGAGGAGGATGTGCATGTCCACTCTAGCAACCAGATGGCGCTGTCTCATCTGAGGAGAGCGTGGCAGGCAGGGAAGCTGATGACACAGTGATGGGGTCTATTTCTCTCTCTCTCTCTTTTGCAGATGACCACCTGGGCTGGCTGTTGGTGTAGACCATGAGCATCTATAGGCTCAGATCCCAGAGCATATACTTTGTGCAGGGAAGGTTTCCCACGTGGCACTGCGGCTTAGGTCGGAGACTGGAGGCCACTGGGTTCCATACCAATCTCTGATGGCTGCTGCTGGACACCAGTACCCTCTGAGGTGGTGCCAGGACCCTCGGATGGCTATAGATATGTATCCTGCCCGTTTCTACTGTGCACGTGTGTGTGAGTGTGTGGGGGATGCCTTGCCCCAGCAGGGCCCTCCTACATGTTCGGGCCAAGGGGTCAGGAGATTCGTAAGGAAGGCTATGACCAAGGAAGGAGGCCATCGGGGAGCACCAGGGGGCACCCGCACAGCTGACACACAAATGGACGTGAGGGTCACATGGACTGGTTCACCTGTCTGTGGCAAGTGAAGACAGAAGAACTGTACCGACACACAGATGGGCACATTTTCCTGGGGCCCATGTCTTCGAGGAACCTGCAGCCTTGTCACCCTCTGTCTATCTGTCTGATCAGAAGGGAGTTACCTTGTTACCTGCCACCAAGGGTGCCATAGCAAGCGGTGGCTGTGTCTGATGACAGACAGGAGAGAGGTGGTGCCACGTGTTGTTGGCTGTCTCTGTCTTTGGGCTGCATGTAGGGGAACTCAGGGTTGTGTGTGTATAGGGCTGGGTCAGCATCCAGTGTGTGCCAGGACTGGCCTGGGTCCTTCTGAGAGCAGGCACAGCCCCTGGAATGAATTCCTGCTGTTGGTCTTGCCTGCCTCCATGGGGCCTCCAATGTTGGGGTCTTTTCCCCCTACCCTTACCTTCATCCTGGGCTCTGCATAGATCCTTCAGGCTCATACGATGGTCTGCATCATGCCCACTAGCTACCCTCCAGGGCTAACAATGGAAGGTTGTTGGGGTCACAGAGCAGCCTGATATTGGCTCCTCCTCTGAGGTTGAGGAAAGAGCAGTGCCAGTACCCTCTAAAGGGACTGAATCTCTCTGTAGAGCACAGCCTAGTGTGACCCATATAGTTCCACCCTCCAACTGGGAGGGGGACTGAAGACCTCTAGTTCTGATGAGCCCACCCATCACTGATGAATGTCAGATTCTAATTAAGTCACTTCCAGCAGGACTTCTAGAGCCAGGAGGTGGTTGTTGAGGATTTGGGGAGCAGTGTATTAAGTTGCGGGAGTGGCCCTGGGGGGTTCATGTTAGGTCTACCAGAGGGGTGAGGGTTAGAGATCTGCTGGGATTAGGGAGCCAGTGGCTTAGAGAAGCCCCTATTCACATGAACCCCCACCTCCTACTCCATCCCCCACCCACCACAAAGGAATGCCAGTTTAGATGCTGGATTAGAATCAACCCCACCCTAGAGGAAGTTGCTGTGTTGTACCAAAAAGCAACTTGACAGTCTAGTTGAATTGTTCCCCATGGAAAAATTTATTGCATTTCTCTTTTCCTAACGTAGCATCCTGAAACATGGAGAAATCACTGGCTCACCTTAAAAGTCCCATCAGAGCAGCAAAAGGAGCCAGCCAGCAGGGTGAACCACGCCCCTTCCCCAGGCCTGCCTCACACAGGAGACAAAAATCAGCCCTCTTACTTCACCAAAGGAGGCGGGAGGAGAAAGGTGTCTGTCTGTCTGTCTGATGCTGAGTGAAAATCCATGTCAAACTCTAGCTGAATGTCATTTCCAGTGGGATACCTGTCTGCCTGTTTGGTTTGGTGGTTCTCAGATCCAGAGATCCGTGAAAAAACACAGAAAGAGTGTTCAGGCTTGGCTCCCTGGCTCCCAGCCTCCTGCGCTCACACTGGGCACTGATGAGTGCAGGTTCACAACACAAACATGCTCCCCCCGCATCCACCCACACCCCAACTCTAACAACCCACACAGATGTCCTGATCATCACCTATAAAACTGGCATATGAAGCTCAGCTCGGCTCAGCACTGCACTGCTCTGCTTCACTTGGCTCTGCTCAGCTGGGCTCCATAAACCCCACATGTGTCTGTCTATCCATTTGCCCCCTGATTGGACTGACTCCTAGATCATCATCCATGAACCCACTTGGGACCCGTTTCTCTCTGTTTGCTCTCTCTCTCTCTCTCTCTCTGTCTCTCTCTCTCTCTCTCTCTCTGCTTTTTGTCGTGCAAGGGGCCTTGCTTTTAGCTGTCTCTCAGCTGTCCTTGTGGCCCTATGCCTTTTTTCACTCTCTCCTCCCTGCTTTTTCTCAGACCCTAACACCACACACACCCTTATGCCTTGATCTTCACCCGAGAGCCTAACACTCAGGGCTCAGCTGAGCTCTGCTGATGGATCCCAGATCTACCTACTCCTCTTCCTGCCTGTCTGCTGGGATTCCCACATCTGTCCTACACAAACACCTTTGGATCCTCTCTCCGATCCCTCCCTGTTTTCATCCCCAGTCCTGTCCCTTTTACCACCCATCTGCACACTCTCTGTACCTTTCTCTGAGCCCTTAGACTCTTTCTGCCTCACTCTCTCTGTCTGTCTCTCTGTCTCTGTCACTGTCTCTGTCTCTGTCTGTTTCTCTGTCTTTCTCTGTCTCTGCTTTCCTCTGGCCTTTGCCTAGTTTGGGTTCTCTCTGGTTTTGTTTGCAGGGGGAGGAGCTGCAGTCTTTTTTCACTCTCTCGGGTTTTCTCCCTCCCTGGGCTGCTTTCAGTCTCTCTCTGCTTTCTTACCTTCCCCTGGGCTTTTTGGGGCTGGGTCTCAGTTGTTTGTGCAGCCTCACCCATGTCTCTGTTAACTGGGGCCTTCCCCACTCTTTTACAGACCGTAACATCACACAGACACACACACACACACACACACACACACACACACACACACACACATACACACACACACACCTATGCCCTGATCATCAACCATGAGCCTAACACACACAGCAGCTCAGCTCAGCTCAGCTCAGTGGATTCTAATCTAAGCCTCTGCCTGGGTCTTGCTGCTGGGATTGCCCTGTCTGTCTTCAGTCCCTTTGCCTCTTTTGGATCCCTCCCTCCATCCCTCATTCCCCAGTTTATCCCCCCCCCCTCCTTTCCCATTTACCACTGGCTGGGCTGTCCCCTCTGTGCTATTCTCCGGGGGGCCCTTTAACTCTTTGGACATCTCTGTCTCTGGCTGTTTCTCCATCTCTGTCTCTGTCTCTTTCTTTGCTTTTCTCAGGACCTCTGCTCTTTGAAGTTTTACATTCTTGCCTTTTGGCTCTGGGCTCTGTGCTCTGGTTTCTGTGCTGTGGTCTCTGGGCTCTTGGAGGCTGGGCACAGAGTGGAGGGGACTGAGTGAGTGAGTGGGCTGCCTGGGAGTGGCAGACAGGATGCAGGGAGTGGAGTAGGGTGGCAACAGGGTGTTGGTTCCGGAGGCTTAGCTAGAGGAGTGCTGGATTAGGGCAGGCCAGTGGACCCCAGGCAGCTAGGGTTAGGATGGCCTGGGTTAGAATTAGCGCAGGGTTGCAGTTTAGCCAGCCTCTGGGCTTAACAGGCAGGGATTTAGGGAGGCAATGGGCTGCCACGCCCCAGCAGCCATGCCACACCCCAGGCTGGATTGGATCTGCTGTGGGTTCATGCACCATGAATTCCACAGCCTAGGTGAAATTTTCCAAGTGGGAAAAGTCTGTCTGCTGACTGAACATCGAATTCTCCGAGGCTTTCCTGCTTCCTCTCAGCATCCAAGGCCTCCGAGGTTCTCCTGTGTCCCTGAGTCCCTGGCTTTCTGATTTCCAAGATTGGGCAGAGTTCAGTCAAGGTTCCCTGCCTGGCTTTAAACCCTGCTTTGTCTGGGATTTCTGGGTTCCCTGAGCTCCCTGGGTGCCCTGCCTCCTCTATCCTCTCTGCCTCTTCTGGCTGCCCTGGCTGGCTTCCCCAGTCTCCCTCCTGGCTTCCCTGGCACCCCTTCTTCCCAGGCTCCCTGGGCTCCCTGGCTCCTCCTTGCCTTCCTTCGTGGTCCCTGGGTGCTGCTCTGCCTCCCCAGGCTTCTCCGCCTCCTCTGTCTGCCCTGGATTGCCTCCCTGATGTCCTTGCTTCCCGGGCCCCCTTCCTTCCCTGGCTGCTTGCCTTCCTCTGTGCTCCTGGCCTGGCTGCCAGCCTCCTTGCCTTCACCCAGGGGCATCAGCACAGGCCACCCTCCCTCCTAGTCCTCACTGTCCACGTGGCCATCCCATTTTGGTGATTCTCCCATCCAGAGTTCTTTGGAGTACACCCTGCTGATCCCCACTCGCTGATGGCTCTCTGCCCTCTCAGCCCTAATCCTTAATCAGCCCCATATTCTTTTCCACTTTTTTAAAATGAAAATCCTGGGGGCTGGGTGTTTAACTCAGCGGCATAAACACCTGCCTTGCAAGCAGGGGGTCCTGAATTCGATCCCCGGTACAGATAAAAATGAAAAAGACCAAGAAAAAAAAATGAAATGAAAACCCTGCCTCTGAAATCCTGAGTCCACCCCATAATGCCATCCTCCTCCTCAGCCAATGAGCGAGCCAGGAAGTGAGTGAAGGGAAAGGGGACTTCCGGGACACCAGGGTGGTGCCACAGGAGGAGATGAAAGGATTAGGGGCCAGGTTGATGGGATCTGCAGCCAGCATGGAGGGATTAGCTGGGCTGCACGGGCGTGGCCAGATCTTGGGCTCCTGGGCTCCAGGGTTTCCCATGCATTCTCCCTGACTGACCTCAAGCCTTAACAAGCTCAGGCACCAGACACCATGCAGCAGGAGTTAACCAGCCCACACAGCCAGACCTCTGGCTGGCCCTCCAGAGCTCCCCTTCCCTGCTTTCTCTCTCCATTCCCCTCCAGGTTCCCAGGACCCCTCTTGCTGGCCCAGCTCCTGGCTCCCAGCTCTCCCAGGAGCTCTGCCTGCTTGCCTGGCTACCTGCCTGACTTCAGGGACCCCATGACAATGCGGACCAAGAAGAGATGGGGACAACAGCCATCTGCCATGCATCGAGTGAGGTGAGGGTCACTGGACTGAGCCGCCCGCCTGCCCCCCGTGGAGGGGTGTATAGTGGTGCGGTGGAGTTCTGGGCCTCTCCCCTGCCCTCCCCAGCTCAGCCTTCACTGGCTCCATGTTTTCCTCCAGGTTCCTGGGACTTGGCACTCCCAGCTCCTGGATCCTGGCTCACCATGCATCTCCTCCCTCCTGCCAGCCTGCCTGCCCTCCAGGACCCCGTGATGATGCGGGCCACGATGAGTTGAGGCGGACAACAGCTGTCCACCAGACAGCCAGCAAGGTGAGGGTCCTTGTGCCTGGGGGCCCCCATGATGTTTTGTGGTGTGTGGTGCTGGGGTCACTTACTGGGCCACCCGCTGGCCCACCCTTTGCTCAACCCTTGCTCATTGCCTTCCTCCAGGTTCCTGGAACCCAGCTCTCTGGGCTCAGGGCTCTGGCCCCCCCAGCTGCAGCCTCCCAGCTCCAAGCTGCCGGCTCTGCTGGAAGCTCCTACCTGCCTGCCTGCCTGACTGCCTGCTGGCCTTCCTGCCTTCCAGGACCCCACGACGATGAGCAAGAGGAGATGAGGGGGACCACAGCCATCCAGCACACACCACAGCACAGCCAGGTGAGGGTTCTTGAGCAGCCTCCCCCACCCCCCCCACCCCCGTGCATTGTGGAGGGGTCACGTTCTGGGCTGCCCTCTTGCCAGGCTATTGCAGCCTCTGCCACGTAGGCAGGGCCCTTCCTTCCAGCCCTGGGATCCTTCATGCCTCTCCTCTGTGCCTCTTAGGGCCACACACCCACCAGGCTCCAGGGCAGCCATCTGACTTTCACCCATAAAGATGGAAGGAAGGGAAGGAACAAAGAAAGGCTCCCTGCAAACCAAGGGACGAATAAGTGAATGAATGAGTGAATGAACGAATGAAGGAATGTATGAACAGAAGAACCAATAAAGGGAGAATCATCACTGTCTCCATTCATCAGTCCCTCCACCCCGCCCATTTTTGGACCTCTGCCCTCCTCCTTTCTCCCTCACCAGGCTTGCTCTCTCTCTCCCTCTGTCTCCCTCTGTCTCTGTGCTTTCCCCTCCCTCCTCTCTCCTCTCTCCTCACTCTGCCTGCTCTCTGCTGTTTGGGGGTTTGTTTGCTTGGACCACGGTGGTGGCTGCTGCTTCTGCCTTTCCAGCGCTCCACTCCATTTCACCCCCGGCTCTCACCTCCTTTCATTCTTCTCCCTCCTCCTCCTCCTTCTCTCCTCAATACTGATGCTGGAACCACAGATGGACAGAAACTCGGGGCCCCCACCCCAATCCTAGGCACCAAGACCAGGGGAAGGGGTGGAAGGGTGGGGGCATTAGCCTCTTGGGATTGATGGTGAATTAGGGAGAGATGTGTGGAGTGGAGTTTGGGCCCTCGGAACTGAGCCTGGATTAGCCAGAGATGGAAGGAAGGAGCGGTGGGTGCTGCTGGTGGAGGTGGGAGCTGGATGTGACTAAGTCCAGGGTCACTTTTTAATTTGCATGTGAGTTCAAACCTCCCATCCCGTGCCCTCCCATTTCAGCTGGTCTGTCTCCCTGCCTGTTTCCCACATGTGGCAGAGAAAGGGGCTCAGGAGTGGTCTGGGTGCCAGCGCTGATGCATTTAGCCCACAAGGGAGGGAGTGTAGCCAGACAGACAGACAACCTGCACCTGTCTCTGTCTCTATTCAAAAACGGAAGTCAGCCATGAACCTTCTGGGCCTCTGGCTCAGCGGTCCCTGTGCCCACACTTCAAATGGGAGGTCACCAGTTTAATACACTGGAATCCTGCCAGCCACGCCGCCTCAGAAATGCTCGGTGCCATGGCCTTTCGAACCACACTTCCCCCATCATTTATAAAGGATTTATGTTTTTGTGTCTTTTATGTGTTTTATTTTTAATTTTTTTCGCTTCTTGAGCCAGGGTCTCTAGGGATGCAATTTGGCCTGGCCTTGAGCTCCCTTTGGAGCCTAGGCTGGTCTCCAACTCCCAACATGCCCCTTATTTGACCAGAAGCAAGGGAGGAAGGAAGGGAGGAAAGAAGGAAGGAAGAAAGGAAGGAAGGAAGGAAGGAAGGAAGGAAGGAAGGAAGGAAGGAAGGAAGGAAGAAGGAAGGACCACTAAAAGACCATGGTCCATCTGTCCCTCTGTCCCTCCCTCCTTTCATTCCTCTGCTCAGTCCCGGTTGGTTCTGGGGCCAGCCAAGGGTCGTGGGTTTCAGTGTCTGACTCCAACACATGTGGAAGAGGGGGTGTCCTGGTGTGCAGGTGGGAGGTTTCCCAGCTCAGCTAATAAGATATTCCAAAGCCTGTCAATGTAAGCAGCTTGGAATCTGCTGTGTGTGTGTGTCTGTGTGTGTGTGTGTCTGTGTGTGTGTGTGTGTCTGCCTGTCTGTCTGTCTGTCTGTCTTTCTGCCTGTCTACCAGTGATGAACCCAAATGCCATGATTTTGAGTTAGCCATGGGAGGGAGGACAAGCAAGGCGGGGTTAGGGCTAGGGTTCGAGTTAGGCTTTGTGTTACTGTTTGAGAAAAGGGTTAGGGTTAGGATTTCAGGCTTCAGGGTGACCTGTCAGTGCTCCGAGGGAGTAGCTGGGTTCCTGAGACGTCAGATTGGTCGCATTTCACCCCAAAAACACACACACATGCCCGGATTCCTACACTCAGCTTGAAAACACACACATTCCCCGCTCCTGAACTTCACCCTAATATGCTCACACATGCCAGAATCCCTGGGATCACCCTGAAAACACACACAAGCCCTGCTCGCCTTTACACTAAAACACACACACGACGTCTACCCCAAGCTCATGCTAAATATACACACATGCCCGTTCCATGGGCTCATTCGGAAAACACAAGCTGGCTCCTTCTCCTACTTCACACTAAAACACACACACAAGCCACGTTTCCCACCCTCACCCTAAAATCATACCAACTCACAGTAACACACACACAATGTCCCACTCACCAGACTCATCCTAATAGATACATACACACGCACAATCCTAGTTCCTCACGCTAACAGACACATGCCACCCCAAATATTGATGCAAGACTCGCTCTCTCTCCCTCTCTCTCTCTCTCTCGCTCTCTCTCTCTCTCTCTCTCTCTGTCTCTCTTTGTCTCTCTCTCTCTCTCTCTCTCTCTCTCTCTCTCTCTCTCTCTCTCTCACTTTTGTGACAGGATATCTGTCTGTATTTTGCTGGCGGTTCTGGGTGAAAAACCCTTGTGAAATATGGACGATCCACACTTGGGGAGAAAGGTAGGGCCGAAGTCCCATGAGAAAAGCAGAATGAGCCTTAACCACCCGCAGGAGAGTAAAATCAACCCACTCACTCCACCCAGGAAGCAGAAGACACACAGGTCAGGTGTCTGTCTGTCTGTCTGTCTGTCTGTCTGTCTGACTGGGTGTCAGACTCTCGCTAAATCCTTTGCAGGGGGACATCTTTCCTTCTGGTGGTTCACTGTTCAAAGTCTTTGTGATATTTTTTGCTGGCTCCAGGCTGACCAGCGACTCTCTGAGACTTTGGAAACCAGTGATCCAGGCCAGTGGTGGTCACTCAGTGCAGGCCAGCTAAGCTCAGCTCATCTCACTGGACTGCAAATGCATCCATCCTGCTGCTCGGATTCCTCTGTGTGTCTGTCATTCACGAACTCACTTCAGATCTTTTGCATCTCTTTGCTCTCTGACCCATGTTGTAGCTTGGCATAACTGACAGCATCAGCAACAAGCCCAGAATTTCATTTTACTAGTGCCCTGAATTTGACCCAAGAAAATGGAAGGTGACTCAGAATACAAGTCCCATCGGAAATCTAGAATGAGCTGTGGTACCTACAGATTGACAAAAACATGGAAACCTTCTCACCCAAAGAAGCAGGATTCAGGTGTGGGTCAACTGAAAATGACTGAAAGATTCGAGCCAAATTGTTTGGAACAGTATCAGGATGTCTTTTGGGATTCTCTCCTTCAGAGACTCTGTCACTTTCCAGTTCACTCAGATGCTGCCGCCTGTTCCATGTTTTGGCCACCAGAGGGCAAAGCTTGCGAACCCAGCCACAGTGGAAGATTCTTAAGTCCAGAGACAGACATAGAAGCAGAGAAAGACATCACAGATACTGCACGCGACACATTCTTTTGGAATGGACCTGTCCCGTGTTGGAGGGGGAAACAGGAGGGAGGACGGCACCTCATTTGGGAGCGTTAGGCTTAGGCTTAGGCTCAGTGTCAGGGTTTTAGGCAGTGGAAGCTAAGGAAGGTGCTCTGACACTGGCTTTCCTGAGGACTGGCATCTTTCTGGGGTTGCCTGTGGCCTTGCATCTGAGGCCAGTGTTTCTTCCCCATCTCTGTTTTCATCCATAAGAGACTGGAGGTTGTCAGAGAACTTGGACCCTGGCGGTACCTCTGGGATAATGTACCTGTCCTCTTTAGCCAACAGGGGCGCTGTCTCATTTGGGCAGAAGAGGAGGATGTGCATGTCCACTCTAGCCACCAGATGGCGCTGTCTCATCTGAGGAGAGCGTGGCAGGCAGGGAAGCTGATGACACAGTGATGGGGGCTATTTCTCTCTCTCTCTCTTTTGCAGATGACCACCTGGGCTGGCTGTTGGTGTAGACCATGAGCATCTATAGGCTCAGATCCCAGAGCATATACTTTGTGCAGGGAAGGTTTCCCACGTGGCACTGCGGCTTAGGTCGGAGACTGGAGGCCACTGGGTTCCATACCAATCTCTGATGGCTGCTGCTGGACACCAGTACCCTCTGAGGTGGTGCCAGGACCCTCGGATGGCTATAGATATGTATCCTGCCCGTTTCTACTGTGCACGTGTGTGTGAGTGTGTGGGGGATGCCTTGCCCCAGCAGGGCCCTCCTACATGTTCGGGCCAAGGGGTCAGGAGATTCGTAAGGAAGGCTATGACCAAGGAAGGAGGCCATCGGGGAGCACCAGGGGGCACCCGCACAGCTGACACACAAATGGACGTGAGGGTCACATGGACTGGTTCACCTGTCTGTGGCAAGTGAAGACAGAAGAACTGTACCGACACACAGATGGGCACATTTTCCTGGGGCCCATGTCTTCGAGGAACCTGCAGCCTTGTCACCCTCTGTCTATCTGTCTGATCAGAAGGGAGTTACCTTGTTACCTGCCACCAAGGGTGCCATAGCAAGCGGTGGCTGTGTCTGATGACAGACAGGAGAGAGGTGGTGCCACGTGTTGTTGGCTGTCTCTGTCTTTGGGCTGCATGTAGGGGAACTCAGGGTTGTGTGTGTATAGGGCTGGGTCAGCATCCAGTGTGTGCCAGGACTGGCCTGGGTCCTTCTGAGAGCAGGCACAGCCCCTGGAATGAATTCCTGCTGTTGGTCTTGCCTGCCTCCATGGGGCCTCCAATGTTGGGGTCTTTTCCCCCTACCCTTACCTTCATCCTGGGCTCTGCATAGATCCTTCAGGCTCATACGATGGTCTGCATCATGCCCACTAGCTACCCTCCAGGGCTAACAATGGAAGGTTGTTGGGGTCACAGAGCAGCCTGATATTGGCTCCTCCTCTGAGGTTGAGGAAAGAGCAGTGCCAGTACCCTCTAAAGGGACTGAATCTCTCTGTAGAGCACAGCCTAGTGTGACCCATATAGTTCCACCCTCCAACTGGGAGGGGGACTGAAGACCTCTAGTTCTGATGAGCCCACCCATCACTGATGAATGTCAGATTCTAATTAAGTCACTTCCAGCAGGACTTCTAGAGCCAGGAGGTGGTTGTTGAGGATTTGGGGAGCAGTGTATTAAGTTGCGGGAGTGGCCCTGGGGGGTTCATGTTAGGTCTACCAGAGGGGTGAGGGTTAGAGATCTGC